TAATTATTTAAAAATTTTAAACTTTGATGTTTTGTTATGTCTGCAAAGCAAATAAAACATCCTCATCCAATACTAATATAACAGGTGCACCTCATAAATGATTAATTAACTAATCAACCTATGCTCAGGCCTTCGCGTAAGAGGTGTGTTTCCGCATGCCTTATATGACCATGCGTATAATACTTTGTTTTGACAACTTGGCCAAAGCTCTTTGCAAGTTTTAATAATTAGCGTTTTTTAAAATGATGCTAAAAAGCAAAGCAAACTTAAATTAAAATAAATAATCAATAAACATACAAAAGTATAAATTCTAAAAAAAATATTTAATCTAAATTAACAAAAATTAAACTAAAAAATTTTTAAAAATTTTAAAGAAAAACATTTATTATTTAATGTACACTTAATTATAATTGAAAGTTTTAAATAAAATTTATCACAGTTCTATCAATCTTTATGATTCCTTCTCATGAATAAATAGGCTAATACAAAAACGGATCCATAATGAGGGGAAGGGCCATGAAGGTGTCTGACCCCTCCCCCTCCTCCTCAGATTTTTTATTTATTTTATTTATTTAACACAGCACGATGTTTAAAAACATATGTAAGTTAGACTGTTTAAAAGTGCCATGAAATTTAATAAAATTTTGTGGTGCAAATTTTAAATTTTATTAAAAATTTAATAGATTACCTGGTGCGACAAATCAACAAACATGCGCTTGTTTGTTAAAAAACTAACTGAAAAACAAAGATCACGTTTCTTTATTTTTGCTTATGCAAACAATGGCGTTTAAGATTTTTCAAAATGAACGCATTTTATCATCAATTTTTTTTTTAAATAATTATGCGATTGATAGTATTTTATTTATTATAAAAAACACATTTAAAATAAAAAAACAATTAATTTTAGAGAATTTAAAAAAAAAACAAGCTAAAACATAATTACTTTTTTTGATAGTATTACTTTTAAGTAAAATAACTAAGTACGCTATTGAACGAAATAGTTATGTTTTGGCATGGTTTTTGCATGCACTTACAAAAGCATGCAAAATTTAACTTAAAATGAATGCATTTGCATAAACTTCAATAGAAACCGTGTTTAAAATTATGATTGCTTTCTTTTAATTGAAGAAATAAATCATAATGTTAAATAATGATTTCTTTTAAGCAATTAACAATTACATTGAAGGTTTTGAGCAAATGTATTATAAATAAAATTTTGCATGCTTGTTTTTTTTTTTTAATTTTCTTATTTCGCTAAAAGTAAAGTAATGTTTGTTTGCATATTAATAACACTTTTAAAAGTGTTTTTTTAATATGCAAGCAACAACAAAAAATAAAAATTGAATAAATTTACCAAGCATCTTTGATATATTTAACAACTTATTACCTATTATTTGAAAATAAAATTTGACATAAATCTTTTAAATTAAATGTTCGTCAAAAACACAAACATGATATGTCACGCCCTTGGATAATTAAAATATAGTTAGCAGATGCAATTATCTCTAGATAATTGGAATTATTTTGTTTAGTAATGTAAATAATTTTCTTATTAGAAATTATATCTTCATGATGAAACCGTTTGTAATGATTTTTTGATAGCCTCTGTTCTTTTTTTGCATTAAACTCTAATCTGGCACAAAGGTTTTACCATAAAACCTAGAAGTGAGGTCCGTGATTTTTTGCTAACCTAAAACACTTCTAGATCGGCATTGCCAAATACTGACCTTAATTTTTGGGACTATATATATATATATATATATATATATATATATATATATATATATATATATATATATATATATATATATATATATATATATTCCCTCGGAATTATGAAAAATGAGGTAGGCAATATCTTGTTGACCTTAAACTGTTTGAGGTTGGCAAAAAAATTTGGTACAAAGGTTTTATCATAAAACTTAGAAGTGAGGTCCGTGATTTTTTGTCTACCTAAAACACTTCTAAGTCGGCATTGCCAAATACTGACCCTAATTTTGAGGGCTCTATATATATATATATATATATATATATATATATATATATATATATATATATATATATATATATATACATATATACATATATATATATATATATATACATATATATATATATACATATATATATACATATATATATATATATATATATATATATATATATATATATATATATATATATATATATATATAATATATATATATATATATATATATATATATATATATATATATATATATTAGGGCTGTACCGGATTTAATTTTTCCAAATCCGGCCGGAACCGGATTTGCCGGATTTCTACTAACAGATCCGGCCGGAATCGAAGCCGGAGCCGGATTTCGAAAAAAAACTACTGGAGCCAAAATCCCGTACATCCCTACTGGGTGCTGAAAATGGCTAACAATGTTCACTATTCAGAACACCAAGTGACAGTTGTTTTCTGTTGCAGCGACATTTTAAAGAAAGTTTTGACAGTACGGGCTAGCATATGTTATGTTATATGTTATATGACCAAAAAAGATCAAAAATTTTTTTTTTAATTGTTAAGTGGCTAGATGTTTAAATGTTGTTAATTGAGAAAAAAATAATTCCTTCAAATTTTAAAGCATTATTCCTATGTTAGGTAACAGCTTAATTAACTTAACATTTCAAGGGTGTGCTTATATTAAAAAAAAGTTCTTTTAAAGTAGGTCAACCTGGTACTCAAAATAATGTAGCAAAAATATTATATAAATTTCAACAATAATATTCGTTTTAAAAAATAATATATATTTTTTAAAATGAATATTATATATGAACTAATTTTTTATTCAAAACTTGTAAAAATGTACTTTTATTTTTGGTTAAAAAACTATAGCTTTTATTTAATTAAATCTAAAAGAATAGTTGTATTATCAAATGATTATTTAATTGAAATTTTTATACAATTTCACTACTTTGAAGATGATACTTTTAAATTATACTTTTTTAAAATAATTCCAACATGATACTGTTAAATTATATTTTTTCTAAATAATAGGGACCCGTTAAAAAGTAAAGTTAATTATGCTATCCCTAAAACACATTATTGTGAACTAATGTCATTTTTTGTGTATAGATAATTCATAAATAAAACTGGTTTGTTTATCAAATCCACAAAAAGCATTTGTTTTTAATTAGGAATTGTTTTTATTTATTATGATGTATGATAAGGTTTGATATTTTACATACGACGTGCATGTTTTTAATGTTTTTAGTGGAATTATCTGGACTTTCCCCTGGAATAACAAGTTTATATTTTTTATGTTGTTCATGTTGTTTTATAAAAATTTAGTTTAAATTGATGTAAATTGTTATTTACGCCCTATAGGGCGCCTACTAGTACTAATAAATCAACTTTTTCATCGCAAGAAGTATTATTTTTCTTAATTGTAATCAGCTCAGCTAAATGTATATTAAATCGTAAATGTAATAGGTAAATCGTGGGTTTTCGTATAAGCTTTATATGGTGTAATTCAGCTATAAAACATGGTGAATTTGTATTTATTAAGTAAAAATAGGCTTTGTTAATTCAAAAAAGCATTACATTACAAATACTAGCAAACCTATGTTCAAACAAAAAGTATGTTTAAATCTATAGATTGAAAAGAAAAAAAAAATTGGGTTAACGTCCGGGTTCGTAATAACACGTTTAAAGTGGACGTTTAAGAGCTATCAAAATAACGTTTCCAGCAAACGTTCACCGATTGTTAATTGAACGTTTAGCGAACGTTCAAGAAATGTAAATTGGAGTTCACAAAAATTTGTTCAAATAATGTTTGCAGCGTGCGTTATGCAAACCTAAACGAACGTTATGGTAACGTTAATTTTTAGCAGGGGTGGACGTTCACGAGCTATCAAAGTAACGTTTGCAGCAAACGTTAGATCAACGTTCGTTGTTTGAACGTTCTCAGCGAACACTTAAGAACTGTAAATCGGAGTTCACAAAAATTGGTTCAAAGAACGTCTGGAGCGTATGTTATTCAAACCTAAACGAACGTTATGGTAACGTTCTTAGAACGTTAATTTTTAGCTGGGTAGCTGAGTGTCAATGCCTGTTGGTAATTGTTGTTTATGTGCAGTGCCAGCGGGCCTAGACTTAATAATTTCATCTATATGTATTGCCATTTTTATGATGATAATGTATAAGAATTATCCAGCTGGGCTTTTTTTGCTGAATTTTCTTTAGTTTTATCAACCTGCTGCTCAGCATGCTCAGATTGACGTCAATCTTGCTTTTTCACCTGTCAGTGTTGACTGTAATGATATGAGCTTAGTTTGAAATTATGGATCAGCCAGTGCCACCACTATATAAAAAGGTTTCTCCTCAATGCCTTTAAAACGCTTATCCAATGACTTGATTAGGATTGAATTCATAGTCTTTACACCTGCATTATTGCAGAATATTTTATGTCTTCCCTTCAGAATTTTTTGTTGCGTTGTTGTTTGAAAATAGGCTTAGCTAATTAAATTGTAAAGAAATATAAATTTTATAGACTTTAGAATTACTAAAAACATTGATTTGTAAAAATAAAATATTAAGTATACATGTTATCACGGGCAAGAAAGATGTAATACATATCCTATCAAAATTCAGAAATCCGGCTAAAATTAAGCCGGATTTGCTAACATTTTGCCGGAGCCGGATTTAAGCCGGATTTGTAAAAATGGCCAGATTTCGGCCGGAGCAGGAGCCGGAGCCGAAATTCGGTACAGCCCTAATATATATATATATATACATATATATATATATATATATATATATATATACATATATATATATATATACATATATATATATATATACATATATATATATATACATATATATATATATATATATGTATATATATATATATATATATATATATATATATATATATATATATATATATATATATATATATATATATATATATATATATATATATATGTTTATGTATATGTATGTAAATTTAGATTTTCAATTTAATTTTTAGGAAATTTCGTTGGTTATCATATTTTCCATAGAGTATTTTTGTCGTCTTTGGTCGTGTTCTGCTCATGTTCACTACACTGGCTTTTGGGGTCGATTTCGTTTTATTAGAAAACCTTACATGGTGATTGGTGAGTTATGTTGGTAATTTTGTTTTTCTTCCACATAAGTATATCAATATTTATATAAAACAATAATACTGAGTTAACTGAAAAAAATTCTATTCATTCAAAAAAAAAAATTTATGTGTAAAAAAAAGCGCACGAAATGCAGTTGTTTGTTGGATGACAAGTTTTTTTATTCAGGCCAGATTTAACCCAGGCTAAGGCCCTTGTTGGTTATTACCATGTGGCGCACATACAAATATATATGTGTCATATATGATAGACTCTCAGAAATTAATTAAAATTTGATTTTTAGTTTCAATTGTTCATTTTATAGTTAGATGATGTTATTACCGAATAAAAAAAAGAAGGAAACTGTATATTTTACGGAGATATTTTACTGTTTGCTTACTGATTTTTTTCCATTAGTTTGTTCGGAAATTTGAAATTACAGAAGTCATAAATTTTTACAGAGAAAGTGCTGCCTCTTTGTTGCTTGACTTTCTCCATTGAATCTATGGCAATTTTTTTTAACATTGCATATATATTTTTATGTTATATTTATTAGACTACATTGATACAATTTTTTAGACTTAATTGTGATTGCTGCAGCCATTGCAGTTGTTCCTGTGGTAGCTCCTTCAACAATTGGTTCTGGAACAGAACTGTACAATAATTCTTTATTTCGGTATTCTTTTTTCTCATATATGCAAATTTTTACAAGTCATTTTGCAAGTTAAATTCTTTTTTATTTCAATTCCTTTTTATCTGAACACATATTATATTCAGATATTTATTGTTTATAAATAATATATAATAAAAATTCAAAGCAAAAAAGGCAAACCACCTTTTAACAAACAATTCTAAACTTTAATATTTTAACAGTTATATTTTAAGCAAATAAAGCCACCAGGTGGTGAGTTTATTAGGAGGATCTTTTATATAAATTAGGAACAGCACATAATCTAAAATGAAACCTTGTGGTATTCCAGAAGTTACTGGAAATGAAGAAAAGCCATAACCATTGAGAGCAATTTTATTGAGAGCAACTTTGATTAGTATGGTTTAATAGTTTTAAAAAATTTTGAGGACACACTATATTAAAAAATCTTATGGAGAAGACGAACATCTTAAACATTATTAAATCCTTCAAAATGTAATTTGAGACTTAGCTAATAGTATAAAGATTGAGCTATAGTATGATGGCTGACTGTGATGGCTCACAGGATCACAGGATGATTTTATGATTGGTACAATTACAAATACTATTTTTTAGCAATAAAATTTATTTTAAAACCTTTTTAAACAATACTTTATAAACAATACAATATAAAATTATGTTTAAAATTTTTTTTCTAATGCATTAGTTTAGATATATTTAGATATATATATACTATATTACAAAAGTTTATTTAAAAATAAACTTTGATTAAAAAGTTAAATTATTTCTTCTAATTTTTTTTCTTACATGTTTTTTCACTCATTTTTAGTTTAGAAATTAGTGGACAAGTTTTTTTTTTCTAATTACATTTCGTTTTTTGTTTAAATTTAGTAAAAATAATTTATTTCAAACTTTTAAATACATTTATTGCATGATGTGGGCATAATTAATTATTGAACTTATGTAATCATAGTTATGTTCATGTTTCATCCTCAAAAAAAGCCTATGCAGGGTAATTTTTAAAGACCCAATTTTAAAATAATTTATAAAAAATACAATAAAAATCACAAAACGTTGACAGTCCTCAGTTAAATAGTAATACTGGAATTCATTTGCTGTGCATTGCACATTTATAAAGTTATGCTCAAAAGTAAAAGATGCTCTTTGATATTCTTTTTTACGATTATTTTTTTTTTGCATTGATAAATATAAGACCTCAGTAGAATAATTGCGTAGCTTGTCAGAGTCAGAACACTTTGTTAAACAAAACGAGTGTGTTTAATATTCTTTTTAACTGCTTATTAATTTTGTAATTCAACAGAATTAATTTTTTTCTGCAAAAAAAATTTTTATATTTTATTTTTATATAAAAAGTTTAATATTTCTTTATGATAAAATCTCTATAATTTTTATAATATTTTTTAGTTATTTATGCTAATCTAAATGGAAAAAAATCTCATCAAATTTTTTTTATATTTTTGGTAGATTTCTACATTTTCTTCAAGTGCTTCGTATATTACGACTAGATCGACAGAGTGGAGCATTTAAAATGGTTAGCCATGTTGTTTTTGAACACAAAAATGTAAGTATTATTTATAAAATGCAAAGTTATGAATTATGTTTATTTATACTTTTTTGTTTTTAGTAAATTGTGTTGCCTTCAATTTTCAAAAGTGCTTTAAACCTGTTTTATACTGAAGTATGTGATGTTTTAAACCTGTTTTATACTGAAGTATGTGTTACTTTAACCCTGTTTTATACTAAAGTATGTGTTGTACAGCAGATTAAGTTTAAAAAAGAAAAATGCAAAAAACTTTTTCTCTTTTAAGTTTTACTTGATATTAATAATCAATTTTTTGCCACTTAAAAGCAGATTTTGAAGTTTAAGTTAAGATTAAAATAATATCAAACAATTATATTATCTAACAGTTATATTATCTAGCAATTATATTATCTAGTAATTATATTATCTAGCAATTATATTATCTTGCAATTATATTATTTAGCAATTATATATCTAGCATTTATAGCCAAATATTGCAATTGTTATGATGTTTAATAGTTTTATTTGCTTATTTATATAGAAGCTACTAGCTGCTAAAAATGAAAGCTAAACAAAATAATCTTATATCACTCAAAATATATATAAATATATATATATATAAATATATATATATGTATATACATATGTATATACATATGTATATATCCTATTATTCTTATTTTTTTGGGTACCCTAATATATATATATATATATATATATATATATATATATATATATATATATATATATATATATATATATATATATATATAAAATATATATATATATATATACACACACACACAACCCTCGGAATTAGGAAAAATGAGGTCGGCAATATTTTGCCAAGCTTAATCTTTTTGAGGTCAGTATCAGGTTGGCAAAAATTATTTGGTACAAAGGTCTGACCATAAAACATAGAAACGAGGTTGGCAATTTTTTGCCGACCTCAAGCACTTTCAGGTTGGCAGTTAGGTCGACATTGGTAAATGCTGATCCTGATTCCGAGTATATATATATATATATATATATATATATATATATATATATATATATATATATATATATATATATATATATATATATATATATATTTATATATTTATATATATATATATATATATATATATGTATATATGTATAATATATATATATATATATATATATATATATATATATATATATATATATATATATATATATATATATATATATATATATATATATATATATATATATATGTATATACGCACACTTACTAAAGCGTATTTTTATAAGCATTTGCTCACTTTTTTTGCTTACCTTAATCCATACTGCTTTTTTAGAAAAAGAAGAAAAAAAACAAATAATGAATGAATCGATTGCTTCCCTATCCAGGCTATTTCAGTATGACGTCAGATTGCTTACCCTAGTATGCAATACAATTTGTATATATATATGTGTATATATATATATATATACATATATATATATATATATATATATATATATATATATATATATATATATATATATATATATATATATATATATATATATACATATATATATATATACACAACCTATATATATATTAATATATATATATATATAAATATATATATATATATATATATATATATATATATATATATTAATATATTATATGTATATATATATATATTAATATATATATATATATATATGTATATATATATATATATATATATATATATATATATATATATATATTTATATATATATATATATATATATATATATATATATATATATATATATATATATATATATACATATATATATATATATATATATATATATATATATATATATATATATATATAATATATATATATATTAATATATATATAATAATATATATATATATATATATATATATATATATATATATATATATATATATATATATATATATATATATATATATATATATATATATATATATATATATATATATATATATATATATATATATATATATATATAATAAGGTTACATTATGTCAAAACACATTAATTTAATTGCAGGAAGTAATTAAACCACAAAACTACAAATTAAAAGACTAGAATGTTTTAAAAAACATTCTAAATGTTTTTAAAAACATTCTAAATGTTTTTAAAAACATTCTGAATGTTTTTTTGTTTTTTTAACTGTAAAACATGTGCGGAGTGTTGCTAAATTGACTTCCTTACAGGGTTGGCAAAAACCCGTTTTTTTTTTTTAAAAACCCGGCCCAGTGGTTTTTTTTGGGTTTAATTGGGTAAATTTGGGTTTTTTTGGGTTTAATTTTTATTTTGTCTCTGTAAAAATTTTTTTTTGTGTTTTTGTTTAATGATATTGAAAATTAGTTTTTTTCTACTTTAACTTTATTTAAAATATATTTTATATATTGTTGTTTAATTATTTAAAACAAGAATTTTTCAAATTATTTAGAAAAAGATTTTTAAATATATTTTAAAACTGTAATAGTAAAAAAAAATTTGACCCTTAATCTATATGTATTGATTTATTTTAAATTTAAAAGTATTATTCTATATAATTAAAAATGTCAATCAGAAAATGTGAAAAAGAAGGCTAGAGAATGGTAGGTAGTAACTGAAGTTTCAATTAAAATTTGAACTTGAAATTCAAATGAACAAACTTGTTCCTCTGCGCAGCGGCCTTGTTTATAAAGGTTCGTGTTTAGGAGTTAAAGAGTTTTTTTTTTTTTTTTAAATCAATTTACCTCCTCAAGGCTTAAGGCCACTACAGGCGAGGAAGCTACTTATTTGTGGTTATAACCCTCTCTCAACTCTATAACTCCGAAACACGAACCTTGTCGAACAAGGCCGCTGCGCGGGAAAGGAGTTGAGCGCGGTACTGCCAGAGATGTGGTGGGGATCGAACTCGGATCCTCTCACTTATGAAGTGAGCGCTCTACCACAACACCACTACCGCGTAAGAGTTGAGAGGGGGTTGTAACCACAACAAGGTAACCTCCTCGACTGTGTTGGCTTCTCTGGTCACTACTACTCATTTAAATTCAACTTGGGAGGTGAATAACATTAAGTAATAAAAATCTCAATTGATAAAAGTATTTGAATAAAAATTGTAATAATGTATTTCCAAATAATGATTCAAATAATAGTAAACCTGCTCTGATAGCTGTTATTGTTGGTTATAATAGTTAATAATAATAGTTAATAATAATTAAGTTAATAATAATAGTTAATAGTTATTTTAGTAAATAATATTATAGTTATAATGTTAAAGTTGGTTATAATAGTTCATAAACTTATTAAATATCTTTAAAAAAACCCAATAAAACCTAGATTTTCCAGGGTTTTATTGGGTTTTTTTAGGCGGGTTTTTTAATGCCAACCCTGCTACCTTATAGCCTGACTCACAACAGTGTTGCTACATTAACTGACAAATAACCTGACTTGCATTGGAGTGCTGCTACATAGACATAATACGCAATAAGAATATCGTTGAGGATAGTGCAAATTTATGAATCTACTACAGGTATGGGGGCCTTTATTTGCACTACAGATAGTTTTACTTGAGAAGGTTAAAACTTTTTTTTTTTATTTCAACAGATTTTGGGCTTTTTTAATTTCATTTTAAAGTTGTTAATTTAGTTGCTACAACCTTTATGTGAATTTGATTTAACCACAAACTCACCACAACGGTACTCTATAGACTAAGTTGTGCTGTATTGAAAACAACAAACCACTTCAAGAGATTTATTTTCTTTTATAATCTTACAATAATATATTAATAATAATAATAAAAGTAAAATAATAATAACATTTATAGCAATATTAATAATAAGATTATAACAATTTATAGTAATAGTAATTAAATACCATAGTTACTTGATAAATTGTTTATAATAATATTATTATTTGATTTAAGTGGTTAGAAGTTTTTTATTCTAATTGGTTGACACTGAAATACAACTAATAATATTAATACAAGGGAATTTCTATTTAATGACATAGGTACATCAGTTTCTATTTAATGACATAGATACATCAGTAAAAAATTATACTGTTTTTAGGGCATTCTTTTATGATTTTCTTAAAATAATAAACAAAAAATAAAGTGTATGTTGATGTCTTCATATTATTAGTGCCTAAATTTTATATTGTAAATTATGAAAAATTGTTAAGTTTTTTTTTAAAATACAGTGTTCTGGCTGTCAAATATGAAAATGATTTCACTACTTTTAAATTTCTAATTATTTGTTAGAATGACGTTTTAGCTAATGTTTAGTTATTTAATATTTCTACAAGATGTGTATAATCATTAACATTTATAATATTAAAAAGACTGTATATTATATTTATATATATATATATATATATATATATATATATATATATATATATATATATATATATATATATATATTATATTTGTTTAAAAAAAAAGAAGAAAAGCAATAATTTGGATGTTTTTTTTTATGTATTTTATCTATTTATGTTAACTTTTTTTAAATTACATTTTTACACTTTTTTAAGGGATCGTTCATAAATTACGTAACGCAAAGTTTCACAAAAAACAAAACAAAAAAAGATCAAAAGTTTTCCCTCGCAGAGTCTTAATTTAAATAAACAATCAAAATAGGAAATTAATTAAATGAAAATCGCCGCGTTAAAAAGCCTAATATCTCCTACTCCTGTTCTTATAATATTTTTTGCTTTGCGTAATTTATGGACAATCCCTAAGATAAAAGTATGAAAATAACAAGACCAAAATAAATTTTTTTATAGGAACTTATGACTTGTTGGTACTTGAGTTTTATTTTACTTGTGGGTTGTTCTTTTCTGGTTTATCTGGCAGAAAAAAGTGATCCAACTGAATCTTCTAACAAAATTAAAAATCTTGGTGAAGGATTATATTTTGGAATGGTTAGTCTTAAAATTAATTATTGATTTTTCAAAACTATATTCAAATGATGTGTAAAACATGTTGTTTGTACATCTAATGTATGAATGTAATTTATTTTATTGTTTTTAAGATAACCTTGTTAACAGTTGGTTATGGGGACTTCAGTCCTAACAATTGGGTTGCAAAAATTGTCACTGTTGTATTTGCATTTATTGGTACTGCATTTTTTGCTCTACCTGCAGTAAGTTTATTTTAAGTTTTCTAAATGATTGTTTATTACATGAATATATTTTATATATGCATTCTTATGAAAATTATTAAGTTTAAAGAGTAATCTATAACGTAACCTAAAAATCTTTAAGGTGCTTGTTACTAACCTCGTGGAATCTGGATTTTCCTAGTCACTACTTTTGATTTACAATTTTAAATGGTATAACATAACATAAGATAAATTAACATTATAATTATTAACTGCAGGCTTGGTCGGGAAGCGGGAGCGATCGCTCTCAAATACTGACCACGGAAATTATATTTAGTTGCGTAAAACTGGCCAGGTTTTTTAGTAGTTTTGAGAACAATTAAGTTTATTTATGAAACAAAAAATTTTTGTTTTACGGACATACATGGAAACATAAAAAACTTGAATGTTCTCAAAACATCATTGTGCGAAAGAATAAAAAGAATATTTGCGAGCACTAAAAACCCGCCAAATTAACAAACAAATTCTATTGGTTCAAAAAATACGCTGATTAAGCGAAATAAAGTTCTAGAGTATTCTGTTAAAATGTTTCAGAAATTGTATTAAACACGATTTGTTACGTTTTGAGATTTCTATAATTGTTTTAAGAATATATATTATTTGTTTACAAAAATAAATGTTTTAAATTTATATTAATTAAATTGTTAAAAAATTTAAAAGTTTATTATAAATTATAGATTTTATTAGTATATTCTTATTTTTTATTATAAAAGTATGTAATCTTTATGTAAATGTAATTTTGTGTATTTGTTTTTTATCTTAATGTATCATTTAAAGCAATTTTTATGATTTAAATAAAGACTTACAAAAATAATTGCGTTTTCAATGAAGTTATAATCGTTAAAGTTAATAAAACTAATTATGTAACAAACATATAAGAAGTTTCTAGTTACTAAACACAAACAACGCATACAAAGTAACTCGCGGATGAACAAGCATCGCGCCTGAGGTCACGACAGAACACAAATATATATAGCAAATAATTAGATTAAAAAAAAGTTTCTAGATATTGGTTTACTAACTCTAACTATTTTTGCTTAAGTTGCCATTCTTAAAACTCGTTTTACTTTTTTCTGCTTTAAATACTAATTAAAATTAAGAAGCCCACTCACTAAACATTATCAGCGATATTGTGAAGCAGTTTCGCTTCCTGGTCATTAAGTATTTTTAACCTTTTTAGTTGATTTCTATCTTGATAATTTAATTCCTATAGTAACTCAATGATTTAATTATTTCATTTGTTTATCTTACTAAGAAGAATCGCTTCAAATATGTTAAACTTTTCAAACTACGCGAAACATAAAAAAGGTATTAAAAAAATTAACTTTTTTATTTATTAAATAATTTAGCTCAAGTAAAACTAAAACTTGCAAACTTAGTTAAATAAAGGATATTTGTTTCTTTTTTAAACAATCGTAAGTTGTTACTTTATATAAAAAACATCGCTTAATTTTATAAAAAAATTATAAAAGAGCGATATTTCGAAAATATTTGTTCTAAATGTAATTTATTTAGCTTTAAGTTTTTTCGCGTTTAAAAATATTTTATTTGCCTATTTTTTTTTTTTTTGTAATTGTCTCTCATCGGTCCAATTAATCTTTGTCGTTTTTTGTTTTTTTTTGCTTTTTAAAATGTTCTCAAAACGACTAAAAAATCTGGCCAGCTTTTCGCAACTAAATATTATTTACGTGGTCAGCAATCGAGAGCGATCGCTCCCGCTTCCCGACCAAGCCTGTAACTGTAGAAGTCAATATTAATTTTGTCAAATTTAATAACTTTAAAAAGTACAAATGGTTTCAAAAATAATATAGGTACACCTTTTAGTGAAGAATATTGTGGTTAACAGTTCTTAAATATAAATAATTAGAAATAGTTGTTATTAAATTTTTATAAGTTTTTAAATATTTTAAAAAATCAATAAAGCGTTTTTTTTTTCAATTGATTTCTTGGTTCTGTTTTAACATGTTTAATTTGTCAGAAAAAAACTGTTGACAGTTGTTAGTGCTTTCAAAAAGTTAAAGTTGTTTATAAGCATGTTTTTACAAATACAGATAAACTTCAAATCCTGTGTATTATTATAAAGATTCTAACAATTCTATTTCTTTGTAGGCATTCTTAAAGTCTTTATTGTTTTTTAATTCTATCAATTTGGTGTAATATAACTATAGCAATCTCACCTTTAATGGAAAATGTTCGTGAAAGTAAAAAAAAAGACTTAAAATTAGTTAACTGTGCTTTCTTTTTGATAATATCTTGAAATGGACTTTTAAAGACCATTAAAGAAAAGTATTTTTAAACTTAATTGTTGTTCAAAAATTTTTTTTTACAAAACAAATGTTGCTAAATGTTTAATATTGTTACTATATTTTCAAAATATTTACTAATTAGTTGCAAATTGTCATTTAATTTCATTAACATCCAAGTCAATCAAAAATGCCAAATCATTCAGCCATTCTATATTTTCAAGTGTGCTTGTGTCTTTTCTTTTTTAGAAACCACACTGATTCATTTGACTGAGCTATCTTACTTGATAAAAGTAAATTACATCAATTTTTAACATCAATATAAAAACTTAACAGTTAATTAAAATAAAAAATTAACAGTTTTAATTACAAGTAGTATCTTGTCATTCGTCTCTACACTTGCACGTATATGTCCCTTATGTATGTAACAGGCATATGATAGAATATGATATTTCATCAATATCTATCATAAGCCAGGCATATAATTGTATATAATCAGGCATATAATCTTGATGGAAGGATTTTATAAGTTTAGTCAAAAGTTCAGTTTTTTTTTCTGTCAGTTGCCTATAGCGAAGTGTACATTATAGTGTATAGCGTATCTCCTGTCAGTGTCAGTGTATCTATCCAACATAAAGTTTTATTTTACCTAAACAAATTTTACCAATGTTTTTTAATTTAGACCTAATGGAACAGTTCTTCAAATTTATAACAAAACTGAATAGATGAACAGTATCATCTGTTAACTTATTAAGAACCAGACTATATATCAACTTAAGTACCAGACTATATGTCAACTTAAGTACTAGACTATATGTGATTATATTTATTTAATTTTTCAATGATAATTTAATGTAGTTTAACAGATCTTTCCCAGCAATAGTCTCTAACAAAATTTATTTTTATAAATTTTATTTTTTTAAGTCTTTTTTACTAAATTTAAAAAAAGCCTTGTTATGCATAGTAAATATAAAAAGGCTACATCTTATTACCAGGGGTGTGGAGTGGTAAAAAAAAAAGTAACGACTCCGACTCCGACTCCAGTTGTTAAAACTTTTTGAGTACAACTCCGACTCCGACTCCAGTTGTTGAAATTTTTTGAGTACAACTCCGACTCCAACTCCAAAGCAAAATTTTTGAAATTTTTTTTTTGACAAATTTATGCAACGTTTTTTGAGGTTTAGTATGAACATAAAGTTAATTGAATGTTTTGTACATGCACGGGCAATACCAAGAAATATTAATATCAGAGTCGGAGTCGCGATATTTTTTAGCGACTCCGACTCCGCTAAAATTGTCGCAACTCCGACTCCATAGCCCTGCTTTTAACTGCATCTAGTTACATTAGGCATTACATTAAACAGCATGTAACTATATAAGATGTAAATTAACTAAGGCTATATAAAAAGAAGTGAATTGGCATTAAAAATGTAATAATTATAGTTAAATGATTAAGAGAAAGTATAAAAAATAATTTTTATTGCGCTACATTTAATTATTACGTTTAAATATTTTGTGTTAAAAAAATTTTTTAATGTTAAGTAATAAATAACCAAACATAATAATACTTTATTGAAATTATAACTAATATATACTAAGTTTTATTATAAATAAAAATTTGCCTGATAGCGCTTTAAGACTATTTAATTGCATAACTTTTGTTTTGAAAAGCATGTGCGTTATAAAAACAAAAATTATACTAGAGGTATTTGTATTAAAATTGTACTAGCATTCAACACAAAACATTTAAATGTGCAAATAATTTATTTCTTTTATCTTCTAAAATAATTTCCAAAGCTTTGAAAACAGTTTTTTTTAAATAACTTTTTACATCGTAAGTTGCTCATTTTTAATATGTAAACGGATTAAGTTGTCCAAAACCCCCTTCAAACATGTGTCTGAGACCACCCGATCAAAACTCATTCACAAATACTAGTTTTAAAACCAAACTTTTTACAACTTGGAACTTTTATTAGTCTGACATTTTACATTAACTATTCAAATAGTAAAATTTTACTCTAATAATTTATTCATATTTTAAAATAATTATAATTTTTATTAGTCTTTCTTTTGTTTAACTATTCAAATAACTTGAAAAAAAATGCCATTTTTTCTCTCACATCACAATAAAACAAACAAAAACAAGTTGGTTTAAGATAATATCTTAAACCTTGGTTTAAGATTATATATTAAACCAATAGCCAATAACCAATATAACAAAATATTTTTTTCATATTTTTTTATTGTAATGTAAGAAAAAAAATTTTTTTTTTAATTTTTTTTTATTTTTCATAACATGAAAAAGTGACTCAGTTGATTGTAAAATGATCATGGCAATATGTTCAGTAACTATATGTTAATGTATTATCTTCCATACTACTTAGAGAACAAATAATCTTTTAAATGAGAAAATAGAAAACCTTTTGCCAGGTTCATCAGTTTTTTTCAGCTACACAAGTTATTCATATCATTAGATAAAATAATAAACAATTTTAAAAGCATAAGTGATATTTCAACCTTATAGATTTTAAAGTTTTAAAATCTTTCAAAAAGCACTGATAAACAAAAGACAAAAATATATTTATTTGAAAAAACAGCATTTGCAAGAAACATTATGGTGTTGAAAATATTTTGAATTTTTTTTTTTTATTATTTCAATAAATAATTTATTTTAAAAACTCTAAAACTATAATCTAGATTTTATTTAAAATCTATAAAAAATATATAAAAAATATATATATATATAAAAAATTAAAAAATATTTAGAAAACTTCTCTTGGCACTTGGGGATCCCTACAAAAAAAAATCTTTTTTTTATTTAGCAATATTTTTAGTTGTCCTCCAATAAATACATAGAAATATCCATTTCCTTTGTATATTTTTTATCACTGTAATTTTTTGTTTTTGTATTAAGTAAATAACATAAATTAATAAAATATTTTCTTTATTAAAGGGTATACTTGGTTCTGGTTTTGCTTTACAAGTTGCACAAAATAAAAAACAAAAGCATTTTAATCGAAGGCTGTTTCCTGCTGCCATGGTCATTCAGGTAAGTAAATATTTATGTAAACATGTATCTTTTATTAAAATATATCACACCTATATGTGTGTGGGTATGAATACATATAAACATATACAATTAAGTCCTGATAAATCAAACATCTAAGGGACCAAGAAAAATTGTTTAAATTAACAAATGTTTGACTAAAGCAAAAAAATTTTAAATCCATTTTTTGTAATATTGATATTTTAAATATATATATATATATATATATATATATATATATATATATATATATATATATATATATATATATATATATATATATATATATATATATATACACTAGTAAAATAGCCTATGCAATTGGCAGGAAGAGTTAGTTGATGCTTTAAATTAGAGTTAACTAATTTTTATTCTACATAGTAGCCCGCTACTATGTTTATAGATAGCTTTAAAACAGCTCAATATACAGATATTACATTGCCCGCAGGCTACCCACCCACTACATAGCTATGATATAACATGCTTTAACATTGTTATGTAGCTACTGCATAATCTGTTATACAACTACTAAATAGCATGCTCATACTGTGCTATTTAGTCTCATTGCTCTTTTGTTCTCATGGCTACTTTGTAGTCAGCTACATAGCTACTACATAGCCTGTGTTCGGAAACATAGCTACTACATAACTATGTAGCCTGCTGCATACTTATGCAGTAACCATAAAAAAACAAAACAACCGACCAGTGACGGATCCAGGATTTTTTGATTTTTGATATAGCTAACTTCCAGAAATGGAGCAAACTCCAAACATTTTTATGTATATACTCAAATGATAAGGCTTTGCAAAAAGTTGCGGTGATTCGAAGCTGGGAACAAAAAAGCCCTTTGACTTCATCCCCCTCACCCCAAACATGAGGCGGATGAAGTATCTTTATATTGAAATATTTATTCAATAGAACTGAACGTATAAAAATTAGAATCAATTTAGATTTTTTATTATTGTTGGTTATTAAACTAGTTTTTGAGTTATTCTATGAGATAACATTTTACATGGGATAGGAATTACTAGTGGTGTTTTACGAGTCTTGATTCTGAGATTCTAAAAATAGGTTTGATAAGTTTTTGGCAGAGCTTTCTGGGATCGCAATGCCAACAAACAAAACTTATTGCAAAGAAACCTAATACCAACAAGTGCAATAAAGCATTGTTATTAGGATTTATTCTCATCAGATTTTTTCTACCTTGAATGTTTGTCAGCACTATATAAATTGAAAAGAAAATAAGAAAAAACAGAATTTGAAAAAATTTAATTAAAAAAAAATTAGAATAACTAAAGATTCTATGAAATAAAACAGGTGCTAACTTTTATTAACTAAAAAATTATACTTTTTGTGAAATTAAATACTAATACATAACAATATTTAAAACTTGGAAAAATGGATAAAAGAAAAATAAGCTTACAAAATTATATATTCAAACAAAAAGTATAAATTTTGTAGATTTTCTTGTCGTAAAAAATGAAAATAATATTAACATAGATGCAAATAATATGTATAATAATTATTTACAAAGAAATTTGAAAACTCTTTATTATTTTTGATATAAATACAGAATGCAGTATTGTTAATTTTAATACTGGAAATTATTTTATTGTTGATTTTCTGTATCATTTAGTCCTTTATTATATGAACATGAAAAATATACCTCTATTGCTTAAAGGGGTCCCCAACTGCTGAGACAAGTTGTGTTCATTTATTAAAGAAAATGTTTAAAAAAAACATTTGGGCTAAATTTCTTTGATTAAAACTATACAATGAATACACACCATTAAATTTAAAATTCACGTTTTAGTCGAAGCTTGTCGTCTCCATTTTTTTTTGGTTTTCGGAGTCTGTATAATATAAGCTGCAATATGCAGACTTGATAATTTAATCCATGCGTGTTTAATTCATAACAGTTTTAGTGTATAATGTCATCGTATAAATTTTTTGTTTCAAGATGTCGTATTATTTTTTTACCAAAGTCACCAAATCATGTAAATTTATATTTAACCAAATCATGTAAATTTATGATTAATTTTATAAAAGCGTATAAATTAATTAGCGTATAAATAAAGTATAAACTGATAAAAAAACAAGTGACTTAAATAAAATATATAAACTGAACTAAGTAGAAAATAAATATTAAATGACTTATTTTACTAATAACCATTCATATCAAACTAAATTAAAGTTAAAACAAATATTTGTACTAAAATGTACAAGAAATAGTTAAAATATAAATATAAAAACAAAGAATTGCGTTGAATTGTTTGTTACCAACTGAACAAAAATCTTTTTGTAGCATTTTTTAAAATAATATTTGAATTGCATAACATTGACAATTAATTAAAATTCTATAGTAATAAAGTTTTAAACATGCATCATTAAACAATAAGAAATGCAAAGTGCTTAAAACTATTGTTTTTGTAAGTAGTAATTAAAACATTAGGTCCAAAACAAACCTCATTTAATGAATAAAAATAATATTTTTTCTTCAAAATACTTTGGTAATTACTTAACTAAATACTTAACACTACTACAAGTTAAGTTTTACAGTGTTAACGCTGTTTTATTTTATAACTAAATTTAAAGTTTTTTTTTTTGAAGGATTATTTAAGATTTTTTAACTTTGTGATAACTTTTTTATAATTACACAATATAGCTCTTATTTTCTCTTGATTATATAGAGAATTAATTAAACCTTCAGAACAAACAAATTCTATGTGCCTAAAATGGAAATTTATGTACAATACTGCCTTTATTTTTTCCTGCCCACAACTCTAATAATCACAAAGTATGTATAATTGTGTAATGGTTTTGGCTGGCTTCTACAACAAAGTAATAATAAAACAAGTAAAAAAAAAATTATAAATATAAAAATATATACATATTTGTATAATTTTTTACTAAATTGCAAATATTTTTTGTGATTTAGTAAAAAATTATACAAATATTTATTTTCTGATTGTAGTAGAAAAAATACTTATTTCTTAAAAAAACAACAACAAAAAAATGCTATCTTAAAAAGACATTGCGATGATGTCATATATCGAAACTATTATGAATTAACACGCACTGAATAAATTATCAAGTCTGCAGATTGCGGCAAACATTATACAGACCCCGAGAACCAAAAAAAATGGAGAATGCGAGCTTCGACTAAAACAATAATTTTAATTTTGTTGGTATGCATTCAATATTTAGTTTTAATCAAAAAAATTTAGCCCAAAATGTTTTTTTTAAACATTTTCTTTAATATGAACACAACTTGTCTTGGCAGTTGGGGATCCCTTTAATGAATCTTAATTTTCTACTTGTATGACTTTCTTGGACCAGCAAATTATCAACTTTAATATTTCAGCTCAAGGAGTGTGAGGATTAAAAAAAAGTCTTAATAGTTATCTGAAAAAAAGCATGTAACAAATTTTATATCAGTGTAGCATTAGTGATGTGGCTTTATTTCAGAAGTCTGGAATTATGGAGTTTATTAACTTTGAAGATTGTTTTCTTGTCTATAAAAAGACTATTACAGAAACAAGCAACTATTTATATTGTACTAATTTTAAGTATGTGAAAAGTTTACAAAAAAAGAGGCTATGCAATCAAAAAGAATTGTAAAAAGCACGAGTTTATTTTGAACGATTCAATGAACATATTTATTTAGATTCAAATTAAAATAAACAACTCAATCAAAAGTTCAGATTCTTTAATGGAGTAATCCTTTATTTATCGACACTAGCATCTTAATTAGATGTTTAGTTAATTTGATGCTTTATTTAGTAACATAATAATTAGTTTTTTCGCAGGTGCTTAATGCGAAGGAGGGGTACTTAGTTATGTTTCGGGGTGGGTATATTTGGAAAATATACCCACCCCGAGCGTATTAAAATTCATTAAATTCATTTATTTATTAAATTTCACTTGTTGGCAAAGAAAACTATCTGCTGATAAAAATAAAAACTTGGAATCATCAGGCTTTAAAATGTCAAATTTAAACTAAATGATCAAAATGAAAACTTTCATTGTAATCAGCTCTTAAAAAATTACAAACACTAAACAAGAATTCAAAAAGTCATTGAAAGTTTGTATTGAAAACTGAATAATTTGTATTGTTGTTGTTATACTTTTTTGAGTTGCTTGCCCGCATTTTAATCCCAGAATCCTTAGTTTTAATTTTTTCAATATATGCATGATGAATATATTTTTTATACAGATATTTTTTTATGTTCGCATATTTTTTGGTTTGTTTTTTAAATACTTTATTTTTTTTTTAAGTTATTTAGTCAAATTGTAATCAGTGTGAGTTGATTCAAAAAAATGAGATCTTAAGTTCAGTTAAAAATGTATTTGTAAAAAAGATTTATCAAAAAATTAATATGTGATTATTAAATCAATTATGCGGTTAATAAGGTCTGTAGAATTTTAAGAATGATCAAACAATTACTTATTTAAATAAAAAGTTGCTCAAATTGTTATGTACATTGTTGATACATCTCTAGCAATAGTGTTTACAGGGATTATCTTTTTCCGGATATTTTTGGAAATTTTTCTCATTCTGTAGTTTTTCCGGATATCCAAAACGTTTTTCATACATACAAGTTTATGTGTATTTTTCTGTAATATATTTGTTTGTTAAGCTTTTTCACTCATCACTCATGCAAAAATTAAGAAGAGTTTGAAAAAAATATTGGAAACAACACAGCTAAAAGCTCAACTTAAATTCATCTGAAATATTTATCACACAAGTAAAGCGACATTTCAACTTGCATCTGCAACCCAATCTACAAAATCTTTCTATACTGTTGATAACTTTAATCCTGCTACATGAAAAAACTAAAATATTTGTAATTTTTATTAAATTTATTTGTAAATAATGCTACTAAGATCTTCTGATAATTTAAATATATGAATGGTAAATTTAATATATTTGGAGCAGCTGTAGCACAGTGGTTATCACGCTTGCTTCAGAAGCTAATAATCCTTGTTCAATGCCACCTCTAGGCAAGTTTTATAACATTGGTAAAAAAGGAGGCATGAACCTCCTTTCAAATGCTCTTCCGTGGTGCTCTGTGATAAGACCGTAAGGAATTCTTGGAGTATGTTAAATAAATAAAAAAATAAAAAAATTAAAAAGAAAATAAGTGAAATTATATTCCAGATTTTTCCTGGATAATTTATCCGAACATTTTTCCGGATTTTAAAATTATGACCTGGATGATCTATGTGTTTAAATTGAAAATTCTTTGTACTAAGGATTCTGCATTCTTTGGTTATCTGTAAAATCAATTAAATTGAAAATATTAAAAAAAAAAAAAGTTCCTTCACACATATGTTTGTCTTACAAGGAATAATTAGTTGAACGCTACCAATGTAAGAGGAAAAAATAAAATTAAATGAATAGATTTCTAAGATTAATCAATTCATTGAGAAAAAAAAAAATATATATATATATTTATATTTGTATAGTTTAGCACCTACGGGGACAGATTTTACAAAAAAAAACAAACACTTACAGGGGCATTAGCATTATTGGGGACATTTTAGTGTACCTGTTAATTTTTTGTCCCCGTAAGCATGATTTTTTTTGTAAAAAAATGTACCTGTAAGAAACTTTTATAGAGAACGAAAAGTACATACATTGACTGACAAATAGCCTGACTCGCAAGGGAGTGCTGCTACATTGACTGAGGGTTTGGTTTGGCCAGGCATCAAGGTCAGGCTTCGGGTTAGGGCTATGGCAAGGTTTAAATTTGGTTATATTACTGTAATTAATCATTTTTGTAAATAGATGAAGTTATACTTATATATTTATAAATATATATATATATAAATATATATATATATATATATATATATATATATATATATATATATATATATATATATATATATATATATATATATATACATACATATGTGTGTATCTATATATCAAGCTTTCCTGGGAAGCGCACGTGGTCGCACGCCTTGTTCGTCCATGCTTTAAGAAATTTTTTAGTCAACTTGACCACGCTTTTATATAGTAAGCGCTTTAAGAATTTGCCGCAAAATAAAGTTTTAAGAAACTGAAGAGAATAAGACAACAATAGTCTAAGAGAAGAATTGAAGACTATACGAAATCTAAAATCTAAATGAAATAAGCTAAAAAACAGAATATTAAAAAAAAAGAAAATTGTTCTCCAAAAAGTAATATACCTAAATACTTTAATGGTTTTGTTTTTTTATTTTTAAGGTGTTTATTATTTTCCACTACCAAAATTGATACAAGTTGAGGAAAAAAGTAGATAAAAATATAACGAAAATAAAAATATTTTTTTAATATACAATTTTTCCCGACTTTTTTCAGTCAGTATATTAAGGAAATACTTTATAATTTGCATTAGAAACACTGACAATTTTTAAATTTGTTTTTTAAATGTTTTTGCTAAACTTTACTGTTTTTATCAATGCACAGGAAAGCAAGAAACCTTATTGCTATTTATTTGTAAAAAAAAAAAAAAATTTTTAGCAAGTTTTTTGTGTAAAAAAATAAAAAGTCATTAATACTAATATTTAAATATAACATATTTGATTGTTTTCGATTAATATAGTCTTAACCCAGATAGTCTATTTCCTGATGAACTATTGTTATTGATGGTGCTCCAAAAGTTTGTGGCCTAGTGCATTGTTACTTTACTGAACTTTTTTAACAAAATCTTTAGAAGCGTATTTTAATTTTTTTTCAACTATAACTAAAAAGTTTTTAACTACATTTTTTTAAACAGTGCAACTATTATGTTCATTATCTCTAGTAATTTGTATCATTGGGAACTGGTCAATATAAAAGATACAATTTAAGACATGCATCAAATGCGGTAAACACATTTAATAAAAAAGCTATGTTAACTTATGTTAACAAAACACATTTATTAAAAAAACCATGTTAACTTATTCCGTCATTACAAAAATTAATAATCAAATATTATATTTTACAAATGAATAACAATTTATTTTCTTATTTTTCTACTAATAAGTATTTAGAAAAATACTTCAAATATAGCAAAACATTTTTAAAAGTGAAAAAGCATACAAAACGAATAACTAGAAGAAAAAAATTTAACAAAATTTCTTTTGAAAATGTTTTTTTCAATAACGACTCTAAAAGTTGTATAAAAATTTTATAAAAAAAAAAAAAAGATTTATTTACTTTTTTTAATTATTATATTTTCTGTTTATTTTATTAAACTTATAATTTTGTTACAATTTTGTTTCCTTTTTTAAAGATTTTTTTTTTTCCTTATTTTTAAACTATTTCCTTAATTGGTTAAACTAGTTTCAAAAACAAGTTCAAACCTTTGAAATCAACTAAAAAATCCTTTGGAGGGGTGATTCTATAGGTAATAGGGGTCACTTTAAAGACTAATTCAAATCTTTTATTTATGTCTGCAGGAGAAAATTGCATTTAATGTTACTGCCTAAATACACCAAAAACCTTTATTTTTAAAAAGTGTTTGCACAGCCAAATGTTCAAAAAAACTTTTTTTTGCTTTAAATTTTACAAATATCACAAATTATGTTTTAATAAAGAATATTTGTATATACATTCCAATACTAGTATATTAATTTACAATATATATATCAAATAGGATGTACTCCATCAAATCCTTTTGATTTAGTCGCATCAATGTTTATCACTATAGATTTTACTTTTTTGTAATTAATAATCACCTTTTTTTCGGTACATTAAATGTTAATTTGATTGTGGAAATATGGTATAAGACCTTCTGGCTCTATTTCAAATGCAGATTAAAAATACTGATTTAGAGTCAAACATATTACTTTATACATATATTATTTTGCATGATCAACAATTCCTGTCAATGCAAATGTTCCAGTTAACAAAAAGTGTGTCTGCCCTGTTGGTTTGTTTCCTAGTGGAACTCCTTTGTTAAGCTCGAACACATGGTCCGGGGTGTTTTTTATGATGAGATCTAGAGTGGTTTTTGGCTGGTTTGTGTAAGAATTACAATAAATTGGAAAAGGTACTAACTGGCACAAGTGACTTTTATCAAGAACACTTTAAAATTGTATGTCTGCAGTATGGTTACCATCATTACTTGCAACTGTCAAGACCCTTCCTGCAACACCTAAACACCAAGGTGGCCACTAGTCATGAAAATCATGGAAATGTCATGGAATTTTATTTGTTCATGGAATTCCTAAATTTTCATTGAAAGTTATGGAAAATTCATGGAACTTATCAAAATTATCTTTACTTAATTCTACTTGATATTTTTAGGATGCAAAGAAATGTACTAGTATGTCTAGTCTAAGTCTTTTTTGAAAAAGATATTTTTGCAATGTCAGTTATCAGAGAAGTAAAAGAAAAAGAGTTTTTTCTAGACATGATTTCAGAACCTTCTCCTATTATTTATTGGTCTGCATGTTTTATAATGATCAAGTTGCAAATGCTAAGTGCATGGCAAGTTGCAAATGCTTAGTGCATGACAAGTTGCAAATGCTTAGTGCATGGCAAGTTGCAAATGCTTAGTGCATGGCAACTTGCAAATGCTTAGTGCATGACAAGTACTTAACTTAAGTATTTAACTCTAGTGATTTATCATAAAAGTTTATGAAGAGTCATGGAAAAGTCATGGAATTTCATTTTCAAGTTTGAGTGGCTACCCTGAAACACTTGTAATGCATGTGGCAGAAGTTAAAATCCCCATAAATGTTATTGAAGGGCATCCAAGTGGTTTTAGAGATTGAGATACAGTTTTTTCAGATATATTTATCTGATTTAGTACATTTAGGTCGTCATTTGGGGGAGAGGGGAGGGAAAAATACAACCTAACAGTAGTGACTCATTACAGTCTTCAGCCATTTTTGCTCAATGGAAGTAGAGTTAAGTTGTGTTTGTTTGACATCAGTTGTTTTAATGGTTTCTTTAATGTACATTGCTACCCCCTCTTCCATGTTTGTTAACCCTCATTTGATGATGGAGGTAGTACCCTGCTAGGAGTGTCTGATGTGTTAGTAAACCAAGTTTCTGCAATGAATATGTGTCATTGACCATTTGTTTTAATATCAGCAATATGTGCCCTCAGTTCATCGAACTTTTAAGCAATTAGCAAACAAGGGTTGATAACGCAGAAATGTAGTTGACTGAGTTCAGATGTAGGTTTGGAAGTAAGAAAACTAAGCTGAGCTGGTTTAGTTTAGGTTTTGAAAGGATGCTTTTAAACTTTATGTCTGTTCCCTTTTAGTGTCTAGCAATAGAGAGAACTTTATTCTGATCATCAGTGTGTATATATATATATATATATATATATATATATATATATATATATATATATATATATATATATATATATATATATATATTTATATTTATATATTTATATATATATATATATTTATATTTATATATATATATATATATATATATATATATATATTTGTTTTGTTTCTATGATATATATATTACTTTAGTTTGATGATATAAATTTTAGTTTTATTATTTTAGTACGCATGGAGGTCTTACTCAGCTGAGAACTGGTCAAGTAAAGTTTGGAATAAGTATAAATTTATAATAGAAAGACCTCACTCGAACTTTGTGCGTAACAACCTTCATGTTACAGCATCACTAGACACTCATAAAAGTAATATTTTTCAACGAAAAAAACGTAACTTTGGTGAACGTAACATGTTATTTAACTCTGTAATGCATCGTCATACAGTTGATAATCAACCCAGCAATGTAGATTTGCGTGAGCGATACCATTCTGAAGGGAATTTATCATATCCAAATTTAGATAGTCTAGACCATAATCAAGCTACCATTATTAGTTTGCCGCCCACTATAAATCCAAAGATTCCAAACGGTATGTGAATTGTATTAGTTTTTTTTTAAATGTTAAAAAAGTTTTGTAATTATTTGTAGAGTTTTCTAAGTTACAAGTATTGACCTGTTTTGTATTAGTTATTTAAAAATTTTAAAGAAGTTTCATAAATATTTGTTTTTCTAAAGTACTAAGACAAAGTATAGGTGTGCTTTGCGCTAGATTTGATAGAATTTTAAAGAAGTTTCATAAATATTTGTTTTTCTAAAGTACTAAGACAAAGTATAGGTGTGCTTTGCGCTAGTTTTGATAGAATTTTAAAGAAGTTTCATAAATATTTGTAGAGTTTTCTAAGTTTACAAAGACAAAGTGTTGATGTGTTTGTTAGTTTTCATAAAATTGTAAAGAAGTTTCATGAGTATTTGTAGAGTCTTTTAAGTTTACAAAGACAAAGTATAGATGTGCTTTGTGCTAGTTTTTATAGAATTTTAAAGAAGTTTTATGAGTATTTATAGAGTTTTCAAAGTTACAAAAACACAGTATCAATGTGTTTTGTGAATATTTGTAGAGTTTTCTAAGTTACAAAGACAAAGTATCGATGTGTTACCCAGCACTCAACCAATCACTCGACCGTAAGTTTTATTTTATAAATAAATTTTTTTGTTGTGAATTTCATAAAATTTTGAATTTATTATATAAATTTTTTGTTAATAAAAACACTATTTTTTAATTTAATTAGTTTTAATTTAAATAGCTTTTGTTTAAGTAATAAAAATTAAATAAAATTAGCTAGGATTGTTTTATATTCAGTATCAAATTATCAAAGCAATTTTTTTAAGTATGTAAGGCCATTTGGTCTCTTCATTTTAAATAATCATCCTAATTTTTATGTTGCATATTATTTTTGAAGCTTGAACTTCGCACTTTTAAAATTTATATTCAAGAGTTTATACATGGTGGCCTAATTACCCAGCTATTAAGATCAATATTTGCCAAAAAGTTTTCAATTAAATTAAATATGTTTATTAATACTATTTTAATTTTTATTAGTAAATACTGATATATTATTTTAATACAACTTGTTTTATATGGGGCAGCTGTGTTAGAGGTAACTAAGAAAAGAAAATTATTTTTATTGTAGGCTTTATAAACTTATAAATTTTATAAACTTGAATCTTTTAGTAATAAAAATAAAATCTTTTATAAATTATTTTGAATTTTTTTCTTTTTTTTTTTTTTTTCTTCATAGAAATTACTATTTAATAACAATTAAAAAAAATGTTTTTTTGATTGTTGTAACACCTGTGCCTTTGGAGAGGTGAATACAGTAACTTCTTTTTAATTATTGTTAACTTCTTATTAATCATTATTAACTTTTTTTTTTCTTACTATTTCTATAGAAACTTTTCATTATTGTTTTTTTTTTTTTTTTTTTTTTTTTTAATTTTACTTCACCTCCTCAAGGCCAAGAAGGCCACTACAAACGAGGAGGCTACTTATTTTGTGGCTATAACCCTCGAGAAACGAGTTGAGCGCGGTAGTACCAGGGACGTGGTGGGGATCGAACTCGGAACCACTCGTTTATGAAGCGAGCGCTCTACCACTACACCACTACCGTATTAATTTTTTATTATTACTTTTTATTATTACAATTATTATAAATACTATTATTTTGCTCTTTTGCTCTATTAATGAATAAAGTTATTTTATTATTTTTAACATTATTGTTATTATAATTATTTTTTAAATTAATATTATTAATATAATTATTTTGTCTCACTCCTTTGATCAGGATTCTGCATGAGCGACTCCTTCCTTAATCAATTATTTATATTTACTCTTAATAATTATATTTTGATTTTATTATTTATAATATTAAAGATATTCTTATTCTTCTTCTTATTTTTATTATTATTATTATTGTTATTTTTTTTTTATTTTTTTTTTAACATCTTCGCTTCCAACAAGGCTGCAAGCAACCACTAATTAGTGTTGAAAGTTACTGGAAGAGAAAAGTTGAAGATTGTAGAGCAAGATAACGATTGACAGGCGGCTTAAAAGATTGAAAATTATATGAATCAGGAAAGCAAGATGAAGGAAGCGAATTCCAAAGAACTGATGTTCGAGGAAAAAAACTAGACGAATAAGGAGCACTTAGGAACTGTAACAGTAAAAGGATGAGACTTAATTGAATGACGAGTAACACGAGAATGAATTTTAGTAGATGGCACAAGAGACGCTAGCTCTTTAGAGCAGTGACCATTATAGTATTTGTAGAAAAGAGAAAGAGAAGCAACATTACAAAGATATGACAGAGATTGAAGGTTGGGTGCAAGAGCAGGTCCAACTATGTTTTCAATGCGTTTTTGCACCTTGTCTAAAAGAGAAAGGGCATCATTAGAAGATCCGCCCCAGATATGGCAACAGTATTCCATACAAGGTCGGATTTGAGATTTATAGAGATAGAGAATAGAATCTAGAGTAAGAAAGTGTCAAGCTCGATAAAGAGATGCAATTTTAGCAAATACTAATTTTGCAACGGATTTGATATAAGGTTTCCAAGAAAGATTAAAAGTGAGAGTTAATCCTAGAAGATGACGGGTAGATGACTCATCAAGTACATTACCGTTCATTAATATAGGAAGGTCTAAATTATTGCGATAACGATTGGCTGAAAAAATTTGAGTTTTATCTGAATTAAAGTTCACCAGCCGCTGTTAGCCCCATCCTGTAGCAGAAGTGAGATCCTTTTCAAGCTCAAATGCCCCCTGCAAGCAATCAGAGGGAGTTGGCTTCTTATCGTGACAAGAGTAAATGGTAGTATCATCAGCAAACAATGCCACCTTAGATGTGAGAATATCTGGAAGATTGTTAATGTAAATTAAAAAGAGTATAGGGCCAAGGATTGAACCTTGAGGAACCCAAAATAAGAAGAAGAGTGCTGTCCATCAAGGACAACTTTTATACTACGATTGGAAAGAAAGGATTCAATAATCTTAAAGATGTTTCCAGATACACTGTAAGAAGAAAGCTTATGAAGAAGACCAGCATGCCAAACTTTATCAAACGCTTTAGAAATGTCAAGAGCAATGGCTTTAATTTCTCCACCTTTATATAATACACGATAAAACCTATTGGTTATTACTGTTAGCAAATCAGCCGTAGAACGAGAAAATCGAAACCTATATTGATGATCAGAAAGTAGGTTATGAGATTCAAGATGAGAGATTAAGTTTGTTAATTAAAGATTCAAGAACCTTGCTTATAATAGGAAGAAGACTAATGGGACGGTAGTTAGATGAATCGGATTTCTCTCCAGAATTTTTAAAAATAGGGATAACAGATGCTGCTTTCCAGCAGGCTGGAAAACAAAACTCTGATAAGCACTTGTTAAATAGTTTTGAAAGGATAGACGACAGCTCCGGAGAACACTTCAGCAAGACTTTAACAGGTATGTTGTCCGGACCGCAAGCTGTAGAAGAGTCTAAGCAGGAAATCACTTTAGATACAGAAGCTGGAGTGATATGAATGTCGAGCAGTGGATCAACCTGTTTGATGGCTATATCAGGTAGAATGCAACTAGTGGAGTCAAGAGATGATATTGATGAAAAGTTCTTAGCAAACAATTCAGCTTTGCCTTTAGGTGAGGTGACAAAATCTGAACCATACAAAAAGGTGGAATCACAGACTTGCCCTTATTATTGATATTATTAAAGATTCTCCAGAAGTCACAAGAGCCTAACTTTTGTGATGAAATACGAGATTTTATGATCTGAGAACAGCGAGCTTTGGCATTAGACAAAACCTTTTCACAATGGTTCCTAGCAGTAAAAAACAGACGTCTGTTTTCTGGAAAAATTATTTTGCTGATAGATATGGTTTCGATTGACAATTGCAGCAGCACAATGTGAAGAAAACCATGGAGAAGAGTGAGGCTTGACCTGGAACTGTCTAGGGGGAATAAAGGATTCCATGCCAGCCTGAATCCACGAAGTTATGTTAGAAGCACATTTGTCAATAGCAAGACGAAAGATTTCTACCCAGGGGCCATCACGAAGAAAATCACGGAAAGAGTCCCAGTCAGCTTTAAGGTAGTTGTAAGATGTACGATGATAAGGGGATTCTGATGATAAAGAAGAATGAGATAATAGTTTTAGAGAGACCAAACCATGATCGGAGACACCTAAGGGTGAGTGTGGAGAAACTGAGCACTGACTAGGATCAGAAACAAGACATGAGTCGAGTAGAGAAGGTAAATGATTTGGGTTATCTGGAAAGCGAGTTGAAAAGTTGACTATTTGAGTTAGGGATTGAGAAAGGCAAAAGTTGTGGGCCTTAATGCCTGCAGAGTCACTGACACTAGAGCCAAGCCATTCAGTGTGATGAACATTAAAGTCATCGATAACATCAATATTGTTATTATTATTATTATTATTATTATTATTATATTATTGTTATTATATGATAGTAATTTTTGAGGAAAATAAATATCTTGTTGTTTCTGTTGTTGTTGTTGTTGTTGTTGTTGTTGTTGTTGTTGTTGTTGTTGTTGTTGTTAGTAAAAAAAAAAAAAAACAAGAAGAAGAAGGAGTATTACTAAATACAACTCATCCTGCCACTAAAACTTGGGAACATGAATTTATAAATATATTTTTTAAATACTTGCCAGAGCAACAACTAAAGCCCTTACATAAATAAGGCACATGTTGGTTAAAAAGTAAGAAATGAACCAGTAACTTTAAAACTTGACCTGAAGATTACATGATTTGACATTTAAATAATAAATAAAAATTTAATTTTTTAAGCCAGATTTAATTACATCTTAAATCTAAGTTGTTCTATCTAGAGCTTGAAAGGTGGAAAGTAACTTATTTAATATGTGGAACACGTATTAAATAAGTTTTTAGAGTGTAAAGCTTTTTGAATTTAAATAATATCAAAGCTCTTTAAATGTTGCTGCAAATGGTCTGAAAAAAAAGTTTGAAACTTAATAAAAAAAAATTTAATAAGCCTGTCCTGCTACTCCTGAAAGTACTGTTGTGGAGGCAATAAAAAGTTTCTTGCTAGCAAAAACTTTGAATTTTTTTTTTAACAACTAAAAGTCTTTTTTGCTATATTTATATTTATTTATTTACTATATTATATTTATTTCATTGCTATAAATATCTATGGCAAGAGTACAAAAAATTTATTACGCTGAGCTTTGAAACCCTGAACCCTCTACATATGCAAAAAAAAGGCTCATTTCACTGATATTAACAGGAAAAAAACTAGATAAATACAATTTCAGAATAATATGAGAAAATAATCACAAGCACATGCTAGAGTTGAGACAAAAATCACCAAAAACAACAATATCATTGATTATTTTTATTAAAAAAAAAAATTATAAAGAGTGACATCACGGGTGAAAGAAAACAATAAAGAACAAAAGATAATTTAGTGAAGTGGTGCTAAAAGCTCAAAATAAATGGTTATATGATTCAGAACTGATTTTACCACAATAGGTGAAATAATATGTAATGTAAGGTGTAATAAAAAATCAAAATTTAAAATAAACTTTATAGTTTTTAATCCCATCACCACCATACCACCACTACTATACCACCACCATACTTTTTTGTAAAACATTAAACTTCTCTGTCCATAAGACAATGGTATGAAGATTGCAAAATAAAATTCTAAAATTTATCTTTGTTCCCTGGCTGCACTCCTGCAATCTAGTTTTTTCCTTGCATTTGATATATCATTTTCTACTTGCAGACATTGAAATATTTTATGTAGTTTAAAAAATAAATCAACACATTTTTATATTTTTAGAGTTTGCCAGTTAAAAGATCATCGATCACATCTTTTTACAAATCAATTGGATTTTTTCAGATGATTCTTCATGCTCTTGAGTTATATAAAGTATTATAGCACAGTTAAATTAATTATCTTTTACATTGATTATAACAATCTTTTCTCGAATATCATATTCAGAATCTGAAAATTTTTACTTTTCAGATTCTGATATCAGAGAGGATCACTTTTTAATGTTAGTAGCTGTAAAGTCTGTTATTATATAGATCTGTACCATGTTTATTGTATTAAGGCTACAGGTTTTAGTGCTTTTAAGACTAGGTATGTCAGAAGAGAAATAAAAACCATATTTTCTCCCTGGTTTACAAGTAACAATAATAAAAGTTTTGAATCTTCTTGAATAATACTTGTTTAATCTTGTTTAATCTTGCTTTTTTACAAGTCAAGTTTCTTTTCCTGTCAAAAATATTTTTAATGTTTTCTGACTTATATGTCTTTAAATCTCTAGACACCAGAGTACTTTATTCATTCTACCGTCATTTTTTGATTATTTAAATGATTTAATGAACTCTCTTCTTTATATTACACCCATATATGATTTATGATGGGTTTCATATATACTGTATATATGCATGATATATGATGGGTATTAATCATGTATGTATGATTTATGATACCCATAATAAGATCATTCCAAAAAATTAGTTTTCAAATTTTCAAGATAAATTTAATTGATTGCTGAAAAAGCACATTTACTCCATTTGGTTCAAATTTTATTCTTAAGAATAAAGTACTCAAGTCCTAAGTAACCAGATTTAATAATGGCAAAGGAGTCACAGTTAACAACAGATAAATGAAGTGAAGTATGTACACATAGGGATAAAGGGTATAGTGAGAAAAAAACTTTAAATTTTTGGTTTTGTGTCAAACAATCTAAGAATAAAAGAGCTTGAGCAAACTGTACAGTGCTAACGATTAAACATTTTGGAGGTAATGTAATATTTTGGGGATGTTCCAGGAATAAAAAACAAGGAACTTTAGTAAAAATAAATGGTAAACATAACAAAGAAGGATACTTACAAATTTGAAGGACCATGCTTTGGCTTTAAGCAATGACTTATTGGACCAAATGGTCAAAAAAATGGTGAAAAAATGGTACAGTCATCCCACCCACCTGTGATACCAATGGTACAGTCGTCCCACCCACCTGATTTGACACCAATTAAATTAATTTGTTATGAGTTGAGTTGAAGAATTAAAAATAGATCTCCAAGTAATGCTACATAGATTTGGGAGTGTTTGCAAACAGAATGGTACTCATTAGATAGAGAATATTTTGCTGAAAAAAAATACCCTAAATTTGCACAGCTGTGATTAATTGGTTATACCATTATTAATAAAGACTTGAAATATTTTTTTTTTTAACATTTTTTAAACACAGAATTAAAAAAATGAGGTCGGAGAATTTGCTGACCTCAATCTTTTAAAGGTTGACAAAAAAACTTTGATAAAGGTCTTGTACTTAGAAGTGTTTGAGGTCATTGAATTGATTGAGAGATATTAAAGGAAAACATACCCACACATATTTTGCACTCAAAAAAAATTTGTTTGTACAAGTTACTTTAGTGTAGTGTTACAAATAAGTATGCCCATAGAAAAAAAAAATTTTTAATAGGAACATGAAATAAACCTGATTAAGTTATTGATTTAGCTTATTTTGAGAATGTGAGTTAAACATGATTACAAGCAACATCTCCTCCAAGACAATTGCATATAGTATCTTCTTCATCTTCTGGGTCTTTTTCTATAAAAGAGTTCTGCTTGAACTTTTTTTAGCTGATCCTCTAGTATTAAAAAAGCCTTGATTTTGCTTGAACTTGAAATTTAAGACATTCCAGTCTATTCCAGCAATTTGTACAGCTCCTTGAGTACTGCAAACATTATAGTACTCTTCTGGAGAATATATTCTTTCAATTTTCATAAACTTCTATTTAAAAGTTCTAAATACACGGTCACACAGCAAAAACATTTGCCCTCAAACAGGAAACAAAAGTTCAATTGTTTTTACTAATACTAATGCATGTCTTAACAGCCAGAAGCCTGCCATGTAAGTTAAAGTGTTATTTTTGTTTTTGTTCATTACAAGCATCAGAAACTAAGCGAACAGTGTCTATGCAATCCTTGTTAACTTATTACAGTTATTTACTGTAATAAGCTTAATGGTCTGAAACTTTAGAGATGATTTGGTTTTGCTGATGATTAAAGCAAATAAATCTCAAAACATCTCTCTGTTCCTTCAGAAGATCAAAGATTGCATTTGCTCTTCGTTTATGAACAGCTAAATCAGTAATTAAACTGTTCTTTTCTTCTAAATCATTTTCACACTTTATTCGGTGTGGAGTTCTTTCGCAAAATGAACATGCGTATGAATTAGGAGAGCCAAACCCTAAATTAAAGTTGAGTACAAAAATTTTTCAGAAAAAATGTTACTAATAGATTAGGTTGCTTCTCTGCCTCATCAGAACTAAAAAGTACTTTTAATGCTTTTTAGCTCTGATAGCATACAATGGCTCTCCCTTCCAGGAAGACTCTTTATAAATTCTACCACAGTATTTCCACTTTTTCTTGTTGTTTTTTCTGAACTGAAATAAATTTTAATATAAATTTGTCTTGCTCACTGTGTGTGTGTGGTGTGGGAGGGGGGGAGGGGGTTTGTGGTGATCTTATTAAAAAAAATCGGTTGAAATTTTTTACAGAACACGAATAAAACAATTTTAATTCTAGTGTGACTTGTGATCAAATGCACTTTTTTAACAGCTGTTTTATCATAATTTCAATAGAATTTAATATGCTAATATAAGTTTTATACTATGGCGAGAAATAAACGAAAACCTAGTATTTGACAAATCAAAGTTTAATAATTTTTGTAAAGGTTAAAAGTTTAAAATTTTTTTATACCTTCCAGTGACTGATAGGTATTTGGCAGAGGTGTACTTGATTCACCGGTTTAGAGGAGGGTAGCATAACTTGGTTAAATCAAAAAAAAGTTAAAGTGATATACTTAGTTATGACAAAAAAAGTTTTTTTCTGATTTTTAAACTGTAAAAAATGTTACTTTTTTGTGTAACAATTTGCATGCTTGCAAATAAACAATAAACAAAGTAACAACAACAATAGTAAAAAAACTAGTTTCTCACTGAACTACTGAACAGTTGTCTTTAATTTAATTTAATACAAGAGGTATAGGTAAAATATAATAATTTTTTATACCTCCTTGACGGCAGCTAAAATAAATCATTGTTTTCATCACACGTGAATCAAGTACACTTCCACTGTTATTTTTGTTAATAAAAAATAAAAATTAATAAATATGGGGGGGGGGTCTTAATAAGATTGGGTGGGTGGGAATAAATAATTTAATAGGCTATAAAAAAGTGCGCTAAAAATAAGTATAAACAGACCTTTCATTGGTTCTTGAAAAAACCTAACTTCACTTCACTGAATCAACTGATTGGCTTCTGACTTGCATGTTTTGAAACTTTAACCCGGTTTGACTTAATATGTTTTGAAAATGTTTTGATATTTCCCTTACCTGTTTTTAGGATTAGGAACCTTTTAATGGAACTAATATTTAAATAGATGATAGATTTCAGTAAATAGAATATAGAAATGGAATTAACTCAAAAAAAATTTTTTTGTGACTATGTACATTTTGCAACATAAATTGCAAGTTTAGATAAGTACTCTGAACGTCACACTGAATTAGCCTGCTACCAGGGGCTTAAGTACATACATTGACTGACAAATAGCCTGACTTGCAGCGAAGTGCTGCTACATCGACTGAGGGTTTGGGATGGGGCAGCCATCTTTTCTTTCAATATTCTTTGTTTTTTTCTTATTTTTCTAAAAACGCGGTATGCTATAAAGATAAGCAAAATAGTGAGCAAATGCTTATCTAAACCAGGTATAGAAGATATATATATAAATATATATTCATATATATTTATAACATATATATGGATATCTGTTGATTATAATAACTTTGTAATAAAAAAGAAATGAAAAATAAATTTTAATATTCATAATACTAAGAAGTTAAGTTATTTCAATATAACAATATGACCAAAAATTTTTGAAAGTAAAAACATCAAATGTTTCCTATATAATTTTTTATTCAAATTTTAGTTTAAATAAAGTTGAAAGAAATGGTGTGCGGTTTTTGTTGAAAGTACAGTTAAAAGCAGCCTTAAGGAAGTTTAAGGTAATTTATTAATAATATATTAAAATATTGATATAAATAAATTAGTATATTATGTTAACATTCAGTGATTTTTCAAAGAAATTGAACATATCAATACATTATATATTGAGTAATAATAGATTAATTATAAACAACTTTATCTCTTAGATTTTAGTTATATTTTTTGATATTTTTAGTTATATATTTAGTAATATGTATATTTTTATATTTTATTATATCTTTTATTATATTTATATTTTATTATATATTTAGTTATATATATTTATATATTTTTATTTTTATTTTTACATTTTTTTTAGTTATATATTTAGATATATTTTTATATATATAATTTTCTTTCTGTTTTTTAAAAGGCGTGTATTTTTTCTTTTTTTACCAAGCTGCTGTCCAGATTTTTTATACATTACTAATTATAAGTCATCATTGTGATGAAGACCTAAATCATTAATGATAATTTTTTTACTTAATAAATTTGAAATATATAGTCCAACAAATTCATAAATTTCTGCTCCATCATAGCTGTCCATTGTTATATCAAAGCAGTCATGTATATTTTCTTTTTCCATGTTTTCTTATTAAATTAAAGTATGACTTTTCTGCAATCCTCAACTAAACAAATTATCCCTTCTAGAATAACTGTGTTCATTTTTTGCAAATTCAATTGTTTTATCTAAAATATCAGCAGTTATTGAGGGGGTAAAAATCATTAACATCAAATAGAATAAATGTATGTCTTTTTTATTTTTAATTATAGAGAACCTATTTATAACGTCAGTGATATTTTCATTTTTTATTATTTAACCTACAAAGTAGTTTGATTTGAAAATTTGTTTTATGATATTTAAGTGTTAAAATAGGGCAATTTATGCAATTCTTTTTTTAAGGTTTTTTTTTTTTTTAACAAGTTTTTTTTATAAAACATTTTTAATCAAAAAATAATACAACTTTTTTTTCATCCAGGTGTATTTTTCAAAAAGAAAGTTGTTAGTTTCCAATTTTACACGGAATGTTAAAATACAATTAATTACTTGCTTAACAAATGTTATAGGACGTCTGCTAGATCAGAGAAATTAGGAAAAGTCAGGGAATTTAGATATCTGCATAAAAAAATAGAGAATAATCAGGGAAATTAGGTTAAATTTTGGAAAAAATCAGGAAGAAACCAGGCTCTTCATCTAACTTGCGTAACTTAAGTCGTATATGCAACATAAGATTTTATTTGGCAGATACTTTAAATGTGAGTTGTAATATTGTTTATATTTTTGCAATTAAAGCGGATTTTTCTAAAAGAATCAAAGTCTAATTTTTTTGAATTTGAGTTTGGGGAATTTTAAATTAAATCAGGGAAAACATGTAATTGATTAGGAAAATATCAGAGAAAAAACAGGAAAATCTATCTTAAAATATTGGCAAACACCCAGTGTTAATAAGGAGCTTAATATCTAATATAAATGTTTATTAAAAAGTAATCGGAATTGAAAATAAGTTTCTCTTAAAAGAAACAAGTGAGCTCAAAAAAAAAAAGGAATAAAAACTTAGACCCTTCTAATAAGTTATTATTTATTTAACTTGATAATAACAATAATATTTCCATTATATTATAATAAAATTTTAGTTATAATAAAACTTTTTAATCAGTGTGTGAGAAAAATTATATTAATTATAGCAAATAAAGATTTAAGTTTTTACCAAAATAATCCAATGGAAAATAAAAGTTGTTAAGATAAATTGTTAAGATAAAGGAACAAAATATATCTTTTCGACATATATATCATTTCGACTTTTTTACATACAGTACATGTACAAGTTTTTGTTTATAAAATAGAACTTATTATAGATGTACCATAATGTTTTCCCACACATCTGTCCCCTCATACTTTACTTTCTCTTCCAATAAAAGGTTGGGGAAGTTGTCTTAGCTGCCTTATAGGATGCAGGCACTCTGTTCTGCATTTTATTGAAAAAGATAACATTTTTTTATATGAAAGATTCATATAATTGAACATCTAATATAAAATTATATAAAAACAATGTAAAAATCTAATAATTTCAATACTAATTCTTGAAGATTTAATGCAAAATATAAATTAGAGTCTATTTTGATTCCAAGATATTTAATAGATTTAACTGAAATTATTTTCTGCCAACTTTATCTGAAATTTAATTGTTAATTTTTGTTGGAACAGATTTAAGTATAATTATTTCTGTTTTTTTAGAATTGATCTACAAAGTGATGAGCAGTTGAAACTTAATGTTAATTTAAATCCTTAATAAAAATAAGATAAAGTAATGGCGCTAAAATTGAGCCTTATGGAACACTGTTAAAAATTTAGCTTATTCTGATAACTTTAATTGAAATAAATTGTGTTCTATTACAAAAATAGGAAGAAAACCAGAGAAAAGTAATATCTCTTATACACTAGTGTTGCAGTTTTTATAGGAGGATTGTGTACTCAACTTTAACAAATTCTTTTTTTATGTCAATAAACACTACACACTCAAAGTGTTTGTTATCAATGGCTTGTCTAATTTTTCTCTGTTATTTCTATTAATAAATTTTCTCTGTTATTTCTATTAATAAATGAGTTGTCAAGTGTTTGTTTCAAAACCCATATTGGTGTTTGTAAAGACATTTATACTTTTTTAAAAATTTCTTGAGTCTTAGATGCATTGCTTTTTCTAACATTTTACTTAAAAGAGTAAAATGTCAATAATTAAATTAGTCTATGAACCCATGGGAATTATTTTAGCTACTTTTATGTAAAAACACCATTTTTGAAAGAATTATTCATCATAGTACATAGAGGTTTGGAGATGAAATACCAATTTTGTAATTAATGTTGGTAGATTGGGACCAAGGCAATTATCTTTAAGAGTGCCTTTTATGAGGTTCGACATCTCATCTTCAGTCACACAATCAATGAAAAATAAATAAATACTAGGTATTTCAAGAAAGTTGCTAAAAACAAATTTAGAGGGAACAATATTATTAAGTAGTTCGTCTTGATTAGTCACAAAATAGTTATTAAAGATATTAACAACATTAGTTTGAGATTTTCATTGATTTTGAGATTAAAAGACATTGTTTTAGTAGGTTTGATGATTTCTTTAATTCTTTTCCAAGTATTATTTACATTATTGTTGTTATTAAAAAAAGATGCATAGTGCAGTTTTTTTAGAAAATTTTAACTAATTGCTAATTTTGTTTCTGTGTAACTTAAATTTAATAATTAATAGATTTTTTGTATTCATATTTTTTGATCTAGTAATTTTTTTATTATGTTTTTATAAAAAGTAGATTTAAGAAAACCAGAAGTTATTCAAGGTTTAGATTGAACTTTGATTTGTTTTTTTTTTGTTAAATTTTTATAGGAGCATATTGGTCTAAAATTTTTTCAAATGTTTTAATGAAAACATTTACAGATTCGTTTATATTTTCATTTTCTTCTATGTGAAATTCCTAGTTTATATCAAAAAAATTTTAGATAATAGAATCGGAATCAAATTTTTTAAAGCTTCTTTTAAATATTTCTACTTTTTTTTTAATGGGTGGGTTATTAGGACACACACAAATTGTTATTAGGACACAGACAAATTGTTATTAGGACACAGACAAATTGTTATTAGAACACAGACAAGTTGTTATTAGGACACAGACAATTTGTTATAAGGACACAGACAAATTATTTTTAGGATACAGACAAATTATTTTTAGGATACAGACAAATTGTGCCATGTGGTCAGAGATTAAGACTAGTAAGATTGCCAGAGAATGTAAGAAGGAAATGAATTCATAAAAATGTTATCAGTAACAATTTTGTTTTTTACAGTTACATGTGTTGGAAGAATTATGTTTGGAAATAAGGGATGATTTAAAATAATTAGAAACTATTTGTAATTCTCTATAAATCAATAAACCTATGTTGAAATCGCCCATTAATACACTATTTTTTTATAATAATAGAGAAACAAAATGAATAGATAAGCATTCAGTGATGTTTGAAGAGGGATGTTGATCCATCCAAAAATGGTTTTACTCTCAAGTTGATAACTTTAAAAAAAAATAGTCTTTAGAAATTTGGAGGAATAAAATAAACAAAAGTAAACAATTCTAAAAAATTCTTTTTATAATAGTGTCAACATATTCCACAATTAAATGACATTAATTTGATCTTTTCATTTCTGATGAGTGTATATATATATATATATATATATATATATATATATATATATATATAATATATATATATATATTTAAATAATAACATCTTATAAATTTTAAAAATCTTAATTTAGGTAGTTCGACGACCCTATGACATTAAAGATGTAATTGAACAGTACACATCTGGTCAAATAGAAATGTTTGGGTTTATTCGAAAATTTCAAACACGGTTAGTTAAACGTCTTCTTTAAAAATAATAATAAAGTGTTATAAAGTTAATATGTTACTCTTTTTTTTTATTTTGAATTGTAATTTCTGATGCTTAGGTTTTTTTATTTTATTTTATCTTGTTTTAATATAAAGATTTTTTTACAGGGTTGAAACTGCACTTGGTATCAAGGGTAAATTTATTTCTGTGCTTTTAAACGTGTTATATATGTTTGTGTGTATATGCAAAAACAGCACAACATTTTTATTGCTTTAAAATTAAATTGAAGTTCTTATTAAAAAAACAGATTGTTGTTACATTTAGACAGGTTTTTGTTAGACAAGTTTTGTTAAGACAGGTTTTCGTTAGACAAGTTACATTAAAACAGGTTGTTGTTAGACAAGTTACATTAAATAGGTTGCTGTTAGACAAGTTACATTACGACAGGTTTTCGTTAGAGAAATTACGTTAAAATATGTTTTCGTTAGTTACATTAAAACAGGTTTTTGTTAGACAAGTTTTATTAGGACAGGTTTTCGTTAGACAAGTTGCATTAAAATAAGTTTTTGTTAGATAAGTTCCATTAAGACAGGTTTTCGTTCGACAAGTTACATTAAGACAGGTTTTCGTTAGATAAGTTACATTAAAACAGGTTGTTTTTAGACAAGTTATATTAAAATAGATTGCTGTTAGACAAGTTCCATTAAGACAGGTTTTCGTTAGAGAAGTTACGTTAAAATATGTTTTCGTTAGACAAGTTACATTAAAACAGGTTTTCGTTAGACAATTACCTTAAGACAGGTTTTTGTTAGACAAGTTACATTAAGACAGGTTTTCGTTAGACAAGTTACATTAAGACAGCTTTTGTTAGACAAGTTTCATTAAGACCGGTTTTCGTTAGAGAAGTAACATTAAGACAGGTTTTCGTTCGACAAGTTACATTGAAACATGTTTTCGTTAGATAAGTTACATTAAAACAGGTTGTTTTTAGACAAGTTATATAAAATAGATTGCTGTTAGACAAGTTCCGTTAAGACAGGTTTTCGTTAGAGAAGTTACGTTAAAATGTTTTCGTTAGACAAGTTACATTAAAAAAGGTTTTCGTTAGACAAGTTACATTAAAACAGGTTTTCGTTAGACAAGTTACATTAAGACAGTTTTTGTTAAACAAGTTTCATTAAGACCGGTTTTCGTTAGAGAAGTTACATTAAGACAGGTTTTCGTTAGACAAGTTACATTGAAACATGTTGTTGTCAGACAAGTTACATTAAAATAGGTTGATGTTAGACAAGTTACATTAACACTGGCTAGTTTAGTTGTAACCTAATTTTTTTAAATAAATTTGTATCAATAAAATGCAATTTTTGGCAATATATTGCTTCCTTTTTATCTAATGATTGGATATAAAAGGAGATGATATATAAGTTTAATTTTAATTGATATTCCTTAAGACTTGAGATCATTGTAAAGGTTCTTTGAGATCCTAGTAGGATCTCAAGGATTTCATAAACAGCTTAAAGTATTTTTTGACCTAATAACTAAAGATGATTTGCTAATAAATAAATGAATGACTGAATTAAGTTTGTATCACTAAAACGTTTTTGGCTTTCAGGCCCTTATTTCATGATAGTTGTTCTAAAATGATTAAGATATTTCTTAAGATATGAAACCATTTAAACTTTGAAATTTGAATCTAATTTTTATTCAAAATGTGATACACTAAAATATTATTTTCCATGAAACTTTTAAATCATAGTCAAAAATATCTTTTGCAAATAGTTGGAGACTTTAAAATAAACATTTTATGTCTTAAATTTTTACAAAAACATATGTATCCAATTCAGAACCGAAACCTGCTGATTTCACTTATAAAAACTTACACAAACAGTTATTAGTAAAATATTAATCGTTCCAGTTAAGGTAACATCCATAATCATCTTAACAGACATAAATCTATTAGCATTGTTTCCATCTAAACCTACTCCATGTAGCCTCTCATTAGTATTTAATGTGTTTTCATCCAGTTTCGAAAAGCTGGCTAAAGTACAAAGCAAAGTGCAAAGTTTATCCATAACTCCTATCATAATGTGGAGTTCAAGTGGAGAAACAAAGTGTGCAAAAAATATTTCTTGATCTTCTTCTAAGTATGCTAAACGTGGATTTATAACATTTTTGTATTCTTGCATTTTTTATCTTTTTTTTTTCCATCACATACATATTGCTCATAACTTAAGTCTGTAGAGCCCAATGTTCTTAGTTTCCCTGTTTTGAGGGAGCATTCTCCTTTACAATACAGAAAGAATATTTGTCTGAATGGCTTGAAAGTTCAAAAACCCTGCACACTTTAGATCAAATGCCAAATTAAAAATGACATCTTCGAGTTTCAGAAGTGTCATTAATTATGAGATTGGCATTATCCTCTGAAACCATCTCCACAATGATAAAAATATAGCAACGTTTCACACCAGAATCATATATTTCATATATTCTAACGAAGAATAATGATTTTTTGGATCAAAAACATTAATGATAACTTTTAAGAAGTTTTGACCACCACCTATATATTCTTACAATTGCATTATAGATATCGATACCTTTTTTCTTAATTATAAATTTGATATATTCAGTTGTATTCTTTACGTAAACTAGATCTCTAACAACTATTTGATCATTGTTAAAGAGTTCTTCAGTTTTACATTCATATAAAGTATCTAGAGTATCCTGCAATTCAGTCATTTTAATATTAATGTTTGATTCTACACCAGTTAGATTTGATATCTCTATAATAGTTGAAAGTGAGATTTGATTTTCTTTGTTTTCGACTTATTTTCATTTACTCCAACTGTAACAGCGAGAAGATTTCTGATTGTAGACAATAAACAATAACTTTTCCTGAAATGAATAGTGATAAATTTGAAACTATTTAAACAGTACTTAAAGCATAAAAATACAGCAGTGTAGTAAATACTCAGCAATGCAGAAAAAAAAAACTTTTTTGGTTACTATATCTACTGTGAAATATCTATTATAATAAAAAAAGACTGGCTTCTTTTATTATCGTACCCAATCTCTAGGTTGAGAAAAAGCAGAAGCTTGCCCTACGGTTATATTTATAGTGATACCAATTTATTTTAAAAGTTAGAGCATGCGCGTTTTGCCTTGAGGACTCGAAATTAAAACTTAGCATTGAAAATATTTTTATTGTAACCATTTTTAAAATAATTTAAAAGGTTTTTACATATAAGTAATCTTGTTTGAAGTCAGCGACGACATCTAGTTTCACTTTCGGAGTTTTTTTTGCGTCCGTTAAACACTCGTTAAACACTCATCTCTCGCATAGGTTCATCCAAAAACATTAAAATAAAATAAAAAAATGGGGGGGGGGGGGGTCTTAAACGTACGCAAATTAATTATTTAGCGTTTTTTTTTAACACCAAATTGAATTTCTTTACCTCTTAATATTCTTTTTGATGTATATTTTTTATAAATCAAATTTTCTTATTGTAAAGCTAATTTCTGGTTTCTACCCCCTTTGTCGAAGGTTTTTGAAAATCTTTTTTGTTTCTACTTTCATTAATTCAAGAAATATGTTGTAAATATAATTTAAATAATGATTGAATTATTTTTTTAGGAGAAAAATACAGTGTAGCATCTCTTGATTCGCGTTTAACTACTGTTGAAAGAAAAGTATGTTTTGTATAGTGGTTTGTGTTTCTGTTAATTAAAAAAATAAACCATTGATATGTACTTTTTGTTTAGATTGATTCGATCAATATGAAGGTTGATTCGATTATTGATATATTAGGTTCAAAGGGTTTTAATATCCGAAAAACATCAAGATGTGCAACTTTTTCTGAAACTTCGACTTGCGCAGTAAGAAAGCTCACAGACTTAAATGAAAAATCTTTTGAACAAGAAGCATTTGACTCTGTATGCTCTAATAAAGACTCGTCAGATGTAAAAGAAGGAAGGCTAAGGTCTGAATCACGATTCATAATTACTCCTGTTTTTCCAGCGCCAATAAATGTAGATGACGAATCTGTTTTTGCTGAAAATGAAGAAGTTTTGTGCAAAAATAAAATCACTGAGCGGCTGAGCTTAAACAGCCTAATAAGAGAAGAAGGAAAGCGATCTGCAGTAAGTGCTGATTCTTTGCATTACCACATGCGTTCAACTGAATTTAATAATGACTTTGTTCATTCCCGTGATTCAATAGAATTAGCGCCCCTTAATCAAATAAGAAATGCTGTAAGCGAGTCATCGTTAATTAAGACTGTTCCAGAGCACTCTTTTAGATAACACTTTTTAAATAAGTTCTCATAAAGAACTCAAAAAAATGTGCTAATTGCTGATTAAATTTTAATGCGAAACTATGGTAACGGCTTTTAAAAAAAAAATCAATTTAATTTACATGACAAATAAGCAAAAAATAGAAAAGTATTTCAATAACTTGCTTAAAGAGCCATATCTAGATCATTTAAACTAATAAATAAAATTAAAACTCTGAAAAGTAAACAAACTAAAAAATATTTGGTCATGATACGGGAGGTTAACAAAAATTATTTTCCCCTTTTCACCAAAAAATCGCAGTCTGTGTCTCTATAAAGTTTTGAAAAATTGAAGGTGGTTGTATAAAATTGTGAAAAAAGATTCGTTGCGTAAAGTTGTAAAAAAAAAGTAGTTTATTGTCTTTTTTATTTAAGCTTCCTTTTTCTTTAATTTTACTTTTTACAGTTTTCGAACTATTCACTTTTTTAACACCTTACTGTTTTACCCTAATGTAGTTTTATAAATAAAATTTAAATAGTGAAATTTTATTGACGAATTTTTATTGGTCAATCTGTTTTTTTGTACTTAATTGGAATTTTTTATTTTGTCTAAATTTTTATCGTTAACTTTTATGAAAACTTGTTTGTTTTTTATATATAAATAGCAATACGTTTTTATTGTATGATGATTACTTTTATTAGTGAAATTTGTAGTAATCGCTTTAAATTAAAATGAATTTTGAAATTAGTTACGCAAGTCCGCACTAAGTGCTCAACCAAAAGTAGGAACCAGCATTTTTTTGTATTTGAGAAAAAAATTGAGCAAACTCAAAAAATTATATTTTATACTTGTCAAATTAAGATGTTTTGCAAAAAAATATTGCAAAAATTGGAGATTGGGAAAAAAATGACCCAAAAAGTGGCCCCCTCTCTCCCTGCCCCAAACGTGAAAGTAACAAAGCAAAACTTTTTTTAATTTTTTTTTTTTACTATAATATAAAAAAATGCTGTACAAACTATTTAAGTTTGGTGAGTCAAAACTACATAGTGTTGACTATAACAGTCATGAAAGATTTTTTAAATAAATATTTTGTTTCAGAAAATATTGCCTATTCTTTTTTTAAATGTGTTTTTGTTTAAAGAATCAATAGCACCTTGTGATAAGAATTTTCAATCGTCTACCACTCTAATTGTTAAATCATAAAACCTGCATGTTTTTTTAGTTAACTCTCAATGAAGCCTTTTTTTGTGACTATTTTAAACTAAATTTAAACTTATAGATTAATTATAAAGTATCATTGAATCTCTTAGCGTTCAAAAATTATGACCATACAAAGTTTTTGGGTTTTTTAAAATACCTCTGTAAATACAGTCTATTTGAAACTCTTGCAAAATAGAGCTGGAAAAATTAACAAAATTTGGCTCAAGTAAAAATACTGTTACTTGAATAAAATTTTACTAAAGTACAAGTAAACGTTGCCGGTACAAATGTTTACTCAAGTAAAAAGTAGCTCATTAAAAATGCACTCAAAGTAAAAACTACCGCGCTACCTTTTTAACAGTTTTTTTTCTTTTCTTTTAAAATGAATAAAAAAATTTTTTAAACTTGAATTAAAAAAAAATTAAATTTAAAACGACAACAGTGCGCGTGTTTGATATCTTTCTTAGGAGTCGTCCGTAAATTATATCACGCAATTTTTGATTTTAAATACCATAATGCAAAAAAATTAGTTTTACGCAATAAATGTACTAACGATACACATAGATTTTTTTCAGTGAAAGAATTGTAAAAATATGGACTTCATTGCCTGCTTACATTGTCGATTCATCTTCATTATTGATATTCAAAAAAAAAACTACAAATTTACGATTTACAACAAAGTTGCTTATTGTATTAAATTGCCTTTGTTCGGGTGTTACATAAGCGTAATCTTGTGATAACCTGTCTCACCCGTTTGTATTTTAATGTATTTTTTTAATGCAAATAAATATTATTATTGTTATTATTATTATGTTTTAAATTATTGTTATGTAATATTAGTTTGAAAGTTATTATTTGTACGCTTATTAATATTAGGCTTTCACAAAAATTGTTATTTGTTATTTAAGGGGTAAATAGATTCTACCTGTAAAGTATCAGAGTACCAACAGTTCTACATGGGTGGTTTCCCTGTTCATACTTTTGGTGTGCGTTGTCGATGCCACATTTGAAGCCCTTTGTTTGATTAGGGTTTAATAAAAGTATTGCTTTTGCTTGGACTATTAGATAGTGTACTAAGTACAACCTGTGCTTCTAGTTAACTTCTATAACTAATTTAAAAAATGACTAGTGTATCAAAAATTGTAAAACATAAAAAACCATCGTCATCACCAAGTTCTCTAAATCAATCATTCACTAATATTTGTATTCTTCGAAATAACTTTTCTTCAATTGAATCTTATCTTTTGCAAAGCCCACCAGACCTACTTGCTTTATGTGAGATTAATTTGAGTTCAGGTGTCTTGTCTTGTGATCTTAATGTTGATGGTTATCTTCCTTTAATTCTTAAAGATTCCAATAGTCACACGTTTAGCCTGGGCATTTGTAAGAATTTACCCATTTGTTGGGAAACTAGGTTAGAATCCACAGACTATTCTTTTCACTCTATAACCTTTCTATATCACTCTGCTTCATTTTAATACTAGACTCTTTTCAATTTTATTTCTGATCAAATTAAACAAGCCCTTTCTCTTTATTTTCTTTCAGCCAATATTGTTGTTGCTGGTGACTTTAATGCTCATCACTGAATGACTTGGTTCTAGTGTCAGTGACTCTGCAGGCGTAAGGCCCACAACTTTTGTCTTTCTCAATCTCCTACACAAGTAAGACGTACCAGAAAAAGTTTATAAATGTTCTGATGTATTGTTTACAGAAACCTTTTATTACTTTAATTAGCTAGTTGTTTTAAAAAACAATGCTTCAAGAAGCGTCTTTTGCCGTTTTTAAGGTCTTATAAGATTGTTATAAGTAAATGTTATTTTGGCCCAAAATAACATTACGTCACAACTCTGTGACAAAAAACTACCTTGGAGAACATAAAGTAAATTTTGTTAAAAAACACTACAATCCACCCTTTTTTTCCGAATTTCGTCTTACCGAAAAATATTGGTCTATTGTCAAAAAAAAAAGAAGTAAATTTAAATGTAAAAGAAGCTAAAAATATCTAAGACTTCAAAAGTAAATTAGAGCTACCAAGAAAGTCCTGCCAAAATCCGTACAAAAGCTGATTGTAAATCTAAAACGCAAAGTGCGTGCGTTTTCACGTACACAACTTCACAAACTTACTTAAATCCTACTTAGTTAAATCTAAGAATAATAATATATGTACTTTCAATATATATATAACATTCAATATCGAAAACCAATAGTTGAATAAATATCCTTTAAAATATCCGCGCATATTTTTATTAATGCATGTCTTAGTCAACTTTCCAACTCGCTTTCCAGACAATCCGAATCATTAAACCGTCACTACTCGATTTGTGTCTTGTTTCTGATCATAGTCAGTGCTTAGTTTCTCCACATTTAGCCTTAGGTGTTTCTGATCACGGTTTGATTTCTCTAAAACTTTTATCTCATTCTTCTTTATCATCAGAATCTCCCTACCATTGCTCCTCCTACGACTACCTTAAAGCTGAATGGGTCTATTTTCGTGATTTTCTACGTGAAGGCCTTTGAAATAAAATCTTTTGTCTTCCTGCTGAAATATGTGCTTCTTATGTAACTTCTTGGATTCAGGGTGGCATGGGATTTTTCATTCACTTTCGACCATTCCAAATCAAGCTTCACTCTTCTCCATGGTTTTCCTGTAGTGTCCATAAGTTTTTCATCCCAATGCGCCAGCATTTTTAAGATGGCATTCAATTTTCTTTGATCTTTAAACTTATTTTGGGTATAATAGCGATTCTACCTTGTCCACCCCAGAATACGTAGCTACTCTATCAAAGAACATGTTTTTCTTAAACTTAATATCAACATCAATGACATAATGTTCAACGTTAGTTATCAACTTTTTTTTAGCGATCATTTCCTTTACACAATCTTTTCTTATAAAATTTCATTGTCAAATTCAATTCTTAATTTAAATTGTCAAATTTAATTATTTTAGGTTCATCTTCTCGTCTTCTATAATATTTCAACTTCATCAAAGTAAAAAATTCCTTTTTATAGAAATCTTTGATTACTCTACCAATGTTCTTTCTGTCTACGACTAAACTTTCTGATTGTGTACAATCAAAGCACATTGTGATACGCAAATTTATTTTGCGGCGACCTTACGTTTTTTTTTTTTTTTAAGAGATTCATTTCAAAAAAAAAAAAAAAAAAAAAAAAAAAAAGAGGCCTTTAATTTCGATGTATACAAACTTTATGTTATATGGCGCGAAGAGAAATAGGTGAGTTGTTTTTAACAATACAGTTGAATAACAATATTTTAGAGAGTTTTATAACAAATTGAGTGGATATTTGCTCCCATCCAAAGGATGTCATCATCAATGAGTTTTCGCAATTTAAGGAGGCGGAAGTTTTCAAATTAAGAAATGAATTATTTAAAGAAGTATTAGAACATTTTGACATTATTCTAGACACTGAAATCCCGTCAAAAAAAATCTTAGAAAACGATATAAGATAGTAACAGATTTTGATGATATTTATCTGATGTCAATATTTTAAGCGGATAATCAACTGCATAAAGACTTCAATAAAAGCTTTCTAACTCCAAACAAGCTAGTCAACAAATGTTGACTAGCTTGTTTGGAGTTAGAAATCACCCATCAGGTATAAATATGGCAATGATTTTAATTTATTGACCGGTTAAAGACATTACAATTAGAAAATAAAAAAATTATGACAGATTCGGATTTTTTACAAGTGAAATACGACGAACTACAAAAAACAAATAATGAAATCGTGAAAAATCAATGTGCGTCACAATCTAACAAGTAATTGTAAACCTCATAATTAGGGATAGTTCTTTTACTTCCTTTTTTTTTCTTACATGAGTAAGTTAACTTTTATCAAAAAGTAAATTACATAAGTAATTTTAAACGTTTCATGTAAATTTATATTTCGTATATGTAATTAATTTTTTTGAAACGACTTTTAGTTTATAATGTAAGTCTTTTTGCTTTCAAAAGTTATGTAAAAGAAGATTACATCACAAAGTAATTTACTTTTACATTTAAAAGTTTATTATTTTTGAAAATTACATTACATAATATAAAAGTTGATTAAACTGTAATTTACTTTTACCTATGAAAATAACTAATTAAAAAAAAATTATATTAAAAAGAATCTTACACATAAAAGTAAATTACATTAAAACAATATGCTAGCAAATGTAAATTAAAAAATATTTTTTAAGTAGGAGTTTTTTATATTAAAAGTAATAACAAATCTTTATTAAAAATAAGTTATATAAAATTAATATTATACGGCCGTGGCGCAGTGGTTTATATGCAGGAAATATCACTTTATATCACACCTCCTTCCATACCGTGACGCGAAATATGTCCAAAGCTCGTTTCGAACCTGGAGATCAAGGTTCGAATCGAGCTTTGGACATATTTCGCGTCACGGTAAAGAAGGAGGCGTGAACTTCCTGGTTAAATGCACTTTCGCGGTGCTCTGTGACAAGACCGTAAGGACTTCTTGGGGCACCTAAATAACAAAAAAAAAAGAAAATTAAATTACATAAGCTTACATTTTATATAATTTGTGAAGTAAATTAAAAGTAATTTATATAAAGTAAATAAATTTACTTATATTTTACAATAACTTTGACAGGATCTTGTACTAAAGTAATGAAAAATGTAAAAATTTAAGCAACCTACACTTAGTTTGCCGCAACATTCGATTTGCGCGGTTTTAGATATTTCTTTCCTGTAAAATTTGAAAATATAATAGGTTTCCGCCCATGATTAAAACTCTCTCTAGTTCCGGTCCACTACATAAACATTCTCTGAAGCAAACCGTCTCAACAATAGTCACTCTCTGGTCAACCATTCAAAAGGTCTGGAATTTAGACAAAGCTGAAAAAGGAAGTTAGCAAAAGGCGCATATATCCATGGGAGACTCAGAAAGGGTA